TCGGTCTGGTGCCCAAATGGGCCCACATAATGGGGGGTGGGTGGTAGAGGGCACAGCCAGCAGATGCAACCCCCTCCCAGCTAAGCAATCAAGCAGCCTGGCCTCCAGCAGACACCCGCTTTGCTCAACTGCCTCACCCCAGGGAGTGGCTAGTCTCCCCTCCAGCCTGAAAGACAGGTGGCCGGGGGCTAAGGGTGGGGGAGGCATTGCAGAGGCGAGCTCAGAGGGGAGGGATCGGTGCTGGGATGAGTACTTCTGCTGGCTGGCCAGAAGCTGTAGACAAAGAGGGCTGCCCGCTGGGACAATGACTGGGCTGCCTATCCGCGGCCAGCCCAGCGTGGATTATCTCACACACGCTAGCCAACAAAAGGGCACCTGCTGGCTGTTGCTCTTCCTGGAATGGCCTCTCCCCACTGCCCTGGCCAGCCCCAGGCCAGTCCTTCAGACCTCGGTGTAGCTAGACATCATCTCTTCCAAGAACCCTTCCCTGAGCCTCCCTGTCTCTATTGTGGGGTCCTCCCCTCATGGCCCCAAGCAACCTCTAATGAACTTACTATCATTCTACCTCAGCATCTTGCAAACTTGGTGACCCGGAAAACCCCTTTCACGGAGATTTATAATCAATTTCACAATGACTGTTTCCCATTGTTTCTCTTCTGTTTATAAGGATGAAATTTAAATTTAAAAATAATTTTCTTTACATCCCATATTAATAATAACTCTTTAACTTGTTTTACCAAAAAAAAAAAAAATTTAGTGTGTGCCCTGATGGGTGTGGCTCAATTGGTCGGCGTAGGTTGGGTGTGATTCCTCCAATTCCTGGTCAGGGCACATGTTTAGGTTGCAGGTTTGGTCCCCCGTCTGTTGGGGGCGCAAGAGAGAGGCAACCAATCGATGTTCTCTCCCTCTTTTTCTCCCTCCCTCCTGATTCTCCCTAAAAAATCAATAAACAAAACCTTAATTTTTTTTGTATATTTAGTAGGCGCCAGACACAATTCTAGACGCCTGGGATGCATTACTGAATAACAGAGGCAACGTGCCCTGCTCCCTGGGGCTGCCATTCCAGTAGGAGAGACAGGAAATAAGCCCATGAATAAATAAATCAATTGTAAAGTATATTTTTAAAAGATGACACTGCTCATACACAAAAACCTCCTTGTTTTTGCCATTTAATCAAGTGCTACAGGGCAGTGTACTTTACACAGGCCAAGAGCATTGTCAAAACAGAGGCCCTTTTTCTAATGGAAACACTTTTTTTGGTATTCTACCCCAGCAGAATTTAATCGTGTGAATCAGTGGCATTAGAGTGCGATGTGGTTGTAAAAGCGAAAGAGTCCTTACTTAGGGGAGGGCAGCAAACGCCTACATTTCCCTGCACCCTGTCTCTGGCTCACGTGCGTGCGTGTGCTCATGCTCGGCCAAGCCGAAGCACCGCTGTCACCGCAGGCGACTGCCATGCAGCCGTTCTACAAACTTAGTGATTTTACGGTTTTCAGAAAACTGAAACCGCCACCAGAATAAAAAGACAAGTAAAAGCGATGTTCACAATATCAAAAAGCTGAGTGTTTATTTGTCCAAGAAAAACTCAGACTTCAAGATAAAGTCCATCATCTCCAGACTCATAACAAAAGCGACCTATGTGTGGGGTTTGCTTGTGAACTTACAGTTAGCATTCAGCAGGAAAATACCACTTTTTTGTAGCAGACACATTTTTCATCCTCCACCTCTGTAGTAAACATGAAGCCATGTGCTTCTACAAAATCTGACTCTAAGAAAACTAAAATGTAAAATTCTGGGCAATGGTCCAAATTATGATAATCTGGCCTTAAAATTTTTAAATCTCATGTGGTGGAATTTTAAAGCTTTAAGGAAAAATGATGCTCAGTATTTATTCGGCTTTTCTCTTTATGAATATCTGCAAACTGACTTTTCTGTAGTGAATCTGACTCGCCAAGATTTCAGACTAACAGTTTTACTTCCACGCTACATATGGTGATATTCTAATTATTCATTTGTTAGTTGAGATATTTCTTTAACAAAAAAACTCATTTACTCTTTGGTTATTCAGTGATTCAGTTCCCATAGAAGAGGCAGAAAAAATGTTTGATTCTTTACCTTATTTACTAGTTTTCAAAATAATAAGTTGATTCCTTCAAAAGAGGCCATTATGGTTTTTAAGTGCCACTATGAATCCACGGATTTAAGCAGATGTGTGTGTTTCCATCCATTGACATTATTATTCTTATTTATGCCCCAAATTGTCCCATCTTGGGCTTTTGGGAGCCTTTCTATGGATTGGTTCGTGTCCTCCTGAAATTACCTTACCAGTCTTTTATCGCTTATGGTTTCCTTGATTACTGGTTTGACCAGCTAGTCCAGCCTCAACTTGTACTTTCTGCCTCAAACGTGGGAAACTGTGTTTTTAAAGGGTCTCATATCTTAGCAAGGAAACTTACTTATCCAAAACATGGGAGATCCTAACATCTAGTCCCATGGATGGGACTAGAAAATGGTTAATACATGTTGGTTGGCTGAATACATTAATGATTATCACCCTCACTAAATTTTAAGTTCCTTGAGACCAGAAACCACATACTCCTAAGAAGTATTTATTGAATAGATAGATGAAGGACGGAAACCAACGATTAGGCGGTACCAATGAGGCCTCAGGCCGGGCAGGACCCTGGTGTTTGTGGTCCTCTGTCACCCTCTGGTGGAGAAGTGCAGAGCATCAACCTCCAATGCCTTAAAATCTAGTGGAGTGATTCAAACTACAGAACCCTTCCCACTGGTGAGCTGTAAAATGCTGGGTCATGACCAGCATTTCTTTTTTATTCCAGAGAGCTAGGGATGGAGAGGACAGGAGAGGAGAGGCAGAAACATTGACGTGATAGAAACATCAATCAGTTGCCTTTCCATTGAGATCTCGACCAAGGGGCTGCGACTGGGGACCAAACTGCAACCCAGGCACGTGTCCTGACCGGGACCCCAATCCCAGACCTTTGGGGTTTACAGGACAACACTCTAAGCAACTGAGCCACACCCGCCAGGGCCAGCATTTTCCATTGAATTTATAATTGAATAGACAACATCAGAGTGCCTTCTACAGAGTAGAGGTAAATTCTGTCATGAACTGTCACAAAGCTACATTTATAGCTATATCTAGGTACCTATTAGCACACTTATTTATTTATATGCTGCATATACATTTTTATTTCTTTTTTAAGATTTTATTTATTTTTTAGAGAGGGAAGGGGGGGAGAAAGAGAGAGAGAGAGAAACATCAATGTGCAGTTGCTGGGGGCTGTGGCCCGCAACCTAGGCATGTGCCCTGACTGGGAATCGAACCTGCGACACTTTGGTTCACAGCCCGTGCTCAATCCACTGAGCTACGCCAGCCAGGGCAACATTTTTATTTCTATTATTTATTTTTTCTGGGTTGCTTTTTTAAAAAAATTATTGTTGTTCTGTTACAGTTGTCCTAATCTTCCCCGGTTCTCACCCGCACCCCACACCTCCCCCCGCCCCCAGCGTCCATTACATCTATATTTTCATGTGTGAAATCACTGGATCACAACCAGTGATTTGTTGATAACTGTTTAACAACTATCTGTCTAGGGGAAAATGTATAAGTATATATTACATAAGTTATACATTTTTCTTAATATAAAGTGTAGCACATAGTTTACAAATAATGAAATATACAAATACTCTGTATTGTAAATTCCATACAGCTCAATGATTCTCACAGAAGGCTTTCACTGACTTTTGCTGGACCCTTGTATCCACCGCCAGCCTCCAGTTTCAGCCCAAACGTGTTCCGTAAGAGGAGTTGCATCTCCATCTAATGGAGCCCTGACCTGCAGCGCTGGCCGATTTCCTTAGTGTAAATCCTCGCAACAGGGCCGATGTCACCGAACACGGAGTTGGGAAGAGTTGCACCTGGGAATTCGACCTGACTTGGAAATAGGGCCTTTGCAGATATAATTAAAGGTCTTAGGATGAAACTACCCTGGACTTAGGACGATCCCCTACATCTAAGGACTGGGGTCCTGGTAGGACACGAGGAGAGAAGACAGAGAGAAGACACACGGAGGAAAGAATCCCACGTGGAGACAGGGGATTGGAGTTACACAGCTACACGGAACGCCAAGGGCTGGCCAGAGACATGGAGGGGGCTCCCTCCGAGCCTGGGGAAGGAGCCAGCCCTGCCCACAGCTGGAGTTCGGCCTCCCGGCCTCCGCGACCGCCAGAGGGTTGTCGGAAGCAGCAAGTGTGGGGTGACTGGTTACGGCAGCCCTAGGAAACACACAGCGGCCAAGAAATGACTGCCGGTTGGGAAGCGCGGAGTGAGACGCCCAGCGGTGACCGGGCGGCGGAGGACTTAGCTCTGGGGACACGCTGCGTGACTGAGTCTCTGAAGCCCTTATCTGATCTCCACTTAAGCCACCGCCGCCCCCCCCCCGCTCCAGCATTACAAGTGTCTTAGAAGTGAAAATAAGTCTAACAATTGAAATTGTAAATGTAATAATTATTTTACGCATTTATTTTCGAATGGAATTTGATCTCACGTCCCTATACCTGGATTACACCATCATGAACCTCGAGTTCATTAACGAAGTTTAGAGAAAGGTTGATTTCTCATCTCCCCATTTTACAGCACAGAAAACTAAGGCTCATGTGGAGGAGGTGTGTCCCAGTCTCCACGAGAGACAAAATGATGCCGTGACCACTGCTTTAACTTCTACAGGGCTCCTCACCTCCAACCTTTACCCGGACCAGAAAAATACGCCGAGGCTGAGGTTCGAACCTCCCACACGAGCGCGTCTCCTGTGGCGGGACAGAGAGAACCGAGAGGAGAGCGAGGAGCACGGCGACAGGCGCGCGGCCGAGGCCGCCAGTGGCCACAAGGGGGAGGGCGAGCGCTCCTCAGGGGGCGGGGCCCGCGGGCGGTGCGCATGCGCTTGCGCCCGGTGGGAGGTGGCTGTACAGGCCCAGGGTAAAAAGGCGTGACGGTGGCCGAGTGCGCACAGGGCGCCGGACGGTGGCCGACGAGGTCCGACATGAATCATGTGGAGCGCTGCGCTTCGTTCCTCCGGTGTACGCTGGTGCGGGTGGCCGTACGGAGCTACCTGCCATGGGGGTTGCTGTCCTCCACGCTGGTGGGTTCCCTCCTCAAGGAGGTCTCCCCACTGCCCGAGAGCTACTTCAGCAACAAGCGCAACATCCTCAACATGTGAGTGCGCCCCGGGTCCTCTTCCTATCCGCGCCATAGCCGACCCGCTGTCGCCTTGTCCCGAGAGCTGAGGGTTGGTTAGCTGCTCTGATGGACCAGTCATTGGGAGGGGAAGTCCTCCCACTCATAACAGCATCTGCACGAGTGTCTCGACCAAGGGATCCGGGATAGCTAGTGTCACTAGCAGTTCGTCTCTGCACACCCAAACAAGACAGCCTGAGCTCCACGGGGCAGGAAGTGGCGAGCAGGGTTGTGTGTGTATCTGTGTTTCTGCAGGATGGCAGGGTGGGAAGAGGGGCGCCCTAGCCTGTGACGCTTCTCCCCTCTCCTCCCCTTGGAGTTAGGCATTGGCCCCTGGCCGGGGGGAGATGCCACCAACCTCTCTCCTGCCTGTGTCAGTCCCCATGCCTCCACCCTAAATCCAATCCCCGCAGCTGGTGACAGTCCCATCACCACCTGTGGAAAACCTGTTCCCCCACCCCTTTGAGAGCCTCGTCTCAGCCCAGGGCAGGGCCCGAACTCCAAGGTAATTGCGGAGCAGCGGCACCCTCCAGCTAATGACCTTTCTCCTGGACTTCCTTGGACCTTGTCAGCCACTCAAAGTTCATGGCAGTGGCCCAGGAAGGCGATCCCAGCCGCCCTCTTTGCAACATCTCCTTAACTCTACCCACTCACTCCTTTTTATTCTTTTTTTTTTTTTGAAGATTTTATTTACTTATTTTTAAACAGAGGGGAAGGGAGGGAGAAAGGGAGAGAAACATCAATCAATTGCCTCTCCTACTCCCCTAGCCGGGGACCTGGCCAGCAGCCCAGGCACATGCCCTGACTGGGGATCGGGGATCGAACTGGGACACTTAGGTTTGCGGGAGGATGCCCAACCCATGGAGCCACACCAACCAGGACTTTCTCTCTTTCTCTTTTTTTAGCTCCTGGATTTTAAGTTTATTGCACAAAAACACTGTTGCAGTAGGGGAACTCTGAAAGATGAAAGTTCTTCCTTCATGTAGGCCTAGATTCTTTAGAATTACAGGGTCAGCAGCATCTCCCCAAATCAACCCAACTCCTCTTATGTACTTAAAACCCTCTCGCCAACGGCTTTGTCAAATGCCTGACAGGTCTTGGCCTATTCATCTCAGGGAAGAATTTTTAGGACAGGCCCTTAGGTGGTGTCTGAAAAACCTTTGGAACCCAGGAAAGGGTTATTCTGTCCTTGGCACACCTCCCTTACCCACCATGGAAGCTGGGCTAAAGATAGATTATGAGAGTGGTAGTAGCCCCAAGTCGCTTGCAGCTGGGCCCCAGGTCAGCCACCTTTGGTGAGCACAGGAGGGGCAGGCGAGGCAGCTGCTGCTTTATCTGGCCTGGAGGAGTGTGGGAGCCAAGCAGCCTGGCAGGCCAGTCAGCCCCCGTTGTATGCCAGTAGCCGGGGATTCTGGCATTTTGCTCCAAGCCTGTGTGCTAATTCATGGAAAGGAACGAGTGAATCACTGGTGCTGGCAGGGGTTTAAAAAACCATTTGGTTCCCTCAGTTCTATTTACCAGCTGAGGAAACAGGCCTAGAGAAGTGTGGTAACAAATGAAGCGGGAGTCAGGATTTGAGGCTGGGTCTTCCAACAACGTGCAGTCGGGCTCTTTTCCGAGATGGTTTTCTGCCCCGTGGGAAAGAGCCATGGTGTAGGAAAAAAGGCGTGGGCTTTGAGACTCGCCAAACCTTGGTTTAACTCTGTGCTTGCTGGCATGTGAGTGTGGCCCTGGGCAAGTTATTAAACTTTTATTTTATTTATTGATTTTAAAAAATAGAGCAAGAGAGAGAGAGGAAGAGAGAAACATTGATTTGTTTTTTCCACTTACTTACGTATTCATTGGTTGAGTCCTCCTGCCGTCCCCACCCACCCCACCCCGCCGCATTGGTTGATTCTTGTATGTGCTCCAATCAGGGATTGAACCCACAACCTTGGCATATCCGGGCAACGCTCTAACCAAGTGACCTGCCTGGCCAGGGCTATTGAACTTTTCTAAGCCTCAAATTCTTTAGCTATAAACTGGGGCAAATGATACCTTCCTCCCAGAGAGTGTGAGTGTCTATGGGAAAGTGAAGGTATATGAAAGCTCTTGGCATTTGGTAGATGCTAAATTATTATTACTTTCCCAAACAAATAGCATAGCGCTTCAGATCACAGGCCCTGGGTTTGAATCCCAGCTCCACCACTTCGGAGCTCCACTTCCGGCACGATGCTTCTCTGTGCCCCAGTGTTCTGGTCTGTCAGTGAGGATCATAACAGTCCCCCACCTCACAGCTTTGTTAAAGATTAAATAGTACGTTTCAAATACGTAGTATCTGTAGGTTTTGTCCACTCTTCTCCTTTTCCCTCCCTTGAGAGTCCAGAGACCTGGGTCGTGACGTGGTTCCCTTTCTACCACGTCCCCGCTCTTCACTTCCGCTTCCCTCCTCTGCCAGGTATTTCGTCAAATTGGCCTGGGCCTGGACCTTCTGTCTCCTCCTGCCCTTCATCGCGCTCACCAACTATCACCTGACGGGCAAGGCCGTCCTAGTGCTGCAACGCTTGTTCACCCTGCTCGTGGGCACGGCCATCTGGTACGTGTGCACGGCCATCTTCTCCAGCGTGGAGCACTACACGGGCAGCTGCTACCAGTCGCCCGCCCTGGAGGGCCTCCGGAGGGAGCACCAGAGCAAGCAGCAGTGCCTCGGCGCCGGCGGCTTTTGGCACGGCTTCGACATCTCAGGCCACTGCTTCCTGCTGACCTTCTGTGCCCTCATGATTGTGGAGGAGATGGCCGTGCTGCACGAGGTGAAGACGGACCGTGGCCACCACCTCCACACCATCATCACCACCCTGGTCGTCGCCCTGGGCTCGCTGACCTTCATTTGGTTGTGGATGTTTCTCTGCACTACCGTTTACTTCCACAACTGGTTCCAGAAAGTGTGCGGCACCGCCTTCGGCCTGCTGGGGTGGTACGGGACGTACAGGTGTTGGTATCTGAAATCTTTTTCCCCAGGACTGCCCCCCCAGGGCTCCAGTTCGCATCTGAAGCAAGACAGTTACAAGAAATAAAAGAGAAACAAAAGGAGTGACCGTAGGACAGTGGTTCATACATTTTTCATGTATCTTCTTAGTTATTTGACTAAAGTATGGACCCCCCTGCAGGGAGGAGGCTCACCAGGCAGTTTGGGTGGGGGCGGGAGAGTCTGCGAGCAAGCTCAGTCCCCGAGCTGCTCTCGGTGGCGGCACAGGCACCACCGCTTCTAGTTTGGCACTTTTTGTCCCGGCAATGCTTGACCTTGATCTGGACTGTCCCTTTTGTCCCCAGAGGGCAAGGCTAAGGCTCAGTGAGAGGACAGAACTGGGGAGGCCAGGGCCTCAGACTCCTCTGCTGCCATCGCTCTCTCCCTGATTCTAATTGGGTTTTTGTTTGTTTCTCTGTTTGTTTTAATGGCTGTGAATGCTGTTATTTAACCATATTGCCCTCTGGCAAAAACAACCAGCTGTTGCCTGAAAGCCACTCTGTGGTTTCAGTGTTGGTGTCATCCGCGGAATGTCAACCGTCACACTGGACTTGTGATTAGCTACCAGAGCAGCTAAACTGAGTGCCTCTGTGACTGAATGTCGGATGAGTTTCAGGTAATGAACAGTGATAGATAACGCTTTCATCCGTCTATTATTTATTGGTGTTTGGTGCAATAAGGTTATATTTTTTTCCTTCCAATTTGAATGAGTGCTTTATGATTTTTAATAACCATAGCATTTGTTGTTTGTCGACAAAACTGAAAATAACTCACATCTCCACTGTTGTACTTTGGCACACGTGTAGATTGCTTTGAGGGGGTTTTTTTTTAGAACACTTACTTTTTATAAACTAAACTCTTGGCTGATGGCATTAAATTCCACCTCGTGGGGCTATTTTCTTTGTAAGAAGCTTTCCTCACCGCACGTCCCCAGTATAGACTGACCAGTGTTTCAGGAGGTCTGCTGTGGCCCAAGGAGTTTCTACCTTTTGGATAAGATTGTGATGAGTGAGCAGTGAAAGAAAATGCCCTCCATTGCCTTTGATGGCGGGGAAACTAAGCTGTTTGCAAAGATGTCCTTATCACCTGGCCCCACCCTCCTCTTATCCGTACCACCATCAGGGCCTATTGTCCTGGTCTACCCATTCTGTCCCCTTGTGGCCCTTCTCAGTTTCCCACCTGTCATTGTGTGGTCTTTGCTGGGAGCGTGCTGGGAGGGGCTAGAAATCCCATCACTCCCCCCGTCACACAGGCGCAGTTACATCCCTTGTGATAAGATACCCCCTCCCCTTCCCCGCCTGTTTCCTTAAGCCTTTCAAACTGAGCACCTTGCATTTTGGATACTCATCCCTGAAGCTTCTTTGATGCCCCCCTCCCCCCAGTTAAGCCTGAGAATAGCAAACTGATAAATACTCCTTAACTCCACTGGCTTTACTCACGTTTTGGTTGTTAAGGGCTTGAGCTCTGGAAAACCTTCAGGGTAAATTGCATTTCATGTAATGATGTATTTAAAATATGTAGTTCGTACTCCCTTTGTATCCAGTTGAGCTGCAAGTTACCTTGTGAGGTGAGTTACCTTGTACCCAAAGAAGGTAGCAGACACAGCAGCAATGAGATTTCGGAGGTGCCACCCTGGTGCTTTGGAAGCACTGGCAAAAGGCAACGTCCCCACGAGATTTTTTTGGCCCTCGGGAGTGGGAAGGGGGTGGAAGTGGGGGTGGGAAGTAGATGGTGGGAGCTTGTGGAAGGGATTGAAATCTCCAAAGTTTCGTGTTCAACACCAAAAGCCAATGGGCACGGGGTGACCCTGGAAGTTCATTTCTCGTACTTCCAATCTCTCAGTCTTTTTCATCTGGGTCCGATTCAAGCTCAGCATCCAATTAACTCCGCAGAAAGAGTCTGTCACCGAGCCTCGTACGTTGATTAATCTCCCACTGCTTCCTGTCCATGTTAGCACCCTTGCCTTTTCCTGGGGGGCGTGCTCTCTGTCCCTCTGTGAGACAGTTTGGTGGAGCTGTGTTCGGGCTTAGGCAAACTTGAGATGTGGGTTCAAAACCGGGCACCACTACTGAGAGCTGCCTGACCATGGGCAAGCTTCGTTCTCCTCATTTGTAAAATGGAGATGATGCTTTAGGATGAAAAGACATGATGCATGTACAATGCCCAGCAGAGGTAAAGTCCCCCGCCCCTTTTTCTTGACTAAGCCCTTTAAAGCTTTCTGGCTCCTCCAGAGAAGGCAGGGGGATTAACATCTTTTGAGTGTCATGGGGGGGTCTCTGTCTCCTGCCAAAATGGTCTCGTGCTGTCTTTTGGAGAGTGTCTTGTCCCCCAGCCCGTCTGAGGACATCTGCGATCACAGAACACTGCCGCGCTTTTTTTGCCTTTCTTTGTTGAGGCTCATTCACCGACGCCTCATCTTCCCCGTGCATCTGTCATAGTCTGAGCACCAGACTGTATTTAGAGAATGGCTCTTGCCACTGTTATATATACGCAGATCGTGTGTGTAAACAAGCAAATTAAGTAAACTGGAGATAATGAAATCCCACATCCCGGCGTTTCGTGTGTTCCTTTCCGATCCCCTGAAGGAGGCGTACAACCACGAGAGCTCAGCCCACTTTACGAAAGTGGCATGGATCCTTTCTCGAGCTACTCATTGCATATAAGGTATTTCATGGCTGTAGAAAAGGTATTTTTTGTTCCTCCTGTAAACTGAATATGTGTGCAGCCATGTATTTCTTAGCGTGACTTACTCCTTCCTTCCACCACAGCTGGGTCCTGGAGTCCTGGCATCTGGACCGACCAGGTTTGGGAGCAGTTTTCTTGGCAGGAGAGGAGGAACACTGAAGAGCAGTTACAGAGTTCACTCAGATGAGGTCATCTTTGAAAATGGCTCAGAGTCCCGGAGGCCTAGACACAGTGGACGGCTTTTCTTGCCTTTCAGGGCCCACTGGTTTGCCAGCCTGACCTGCTGGGCACCTCCAGGGAGTGTTTGTCAAAAGCTCAGTGGCTCCAGGATTAGAATCCCCTCGTGCGGCAAGACTTGCCCTGTCCAGGTTCCTTCGGCAGCCGCGAACCTTCGTGAGTTCCTGCCGTGAGCCAGGAGCTGGGGAGGATGACAGACTCGCTGCCTCGTGGAGTTTGTTTGTGGTCCCAAGTCAGTCCCTTTGGAGCCTAAGGTGTGTGCTGGGGTCACAGAGATAAATTTGATACACTTCTCCGTTCGAGAAATTTTCACCATAAAGTGTTCTGCGCGCTGGTTAAAGTCAGGCCGGAGGACGTAGAGCTGGGGACAGCCGGCTGCTCTGGGCGAGTAGGGAATATTTTTGCAGAACCTAACGATTCTTTCTGGTCTTGGAGGATGAGGAGGAGTACACGCAGTTAGGCAGAGAAGGGCATCCAAGGAAGTGAGAACAGCATGCCCGAGGACACAGATATGCTGCCGGGGTTTCCATCCACATGTCCCTCCTCCAGAAACCTAACTTCCCCGTCATTTTCAGAATCAGCGGAGATTGGAGACAGGACCGACAGGACAGGACTGTCAGGGGACACCACGGAGGTGCCCCGCATGAAGAGCGCCCCCTGGCTGTGAGCTGGGCTCCGCCACTGCTTTTTCTGCCTTTCCGTGTGACCTTGAACCAGTCAGTCAGCATCTCTGGGTCTCAGTTTCCTTATCTGGTGATGGGTGGTAGTGGAATGAATCATCTCCCCAGCTCTTCTGCTCTATTCTGTTTCTCTGTGCTGTCTGGTGAAAAGCTCTTCCCAGGCTGGTTCTGACTTTTATTTTAGGAAACCCCATGAAAAGAAACTCCCACTCACAGCTGAGGCGGCAGCTGCTTTCCTGGTGAGTGCAGGAAGCACTGACCTCGAGGTGCACTTTATCACACCCTTCCTCCTGCGTCAACAGCCGTGTAGTTCAGACCTGACTGTGTGGGTTCACGTGGGCCTACTGGGCATGGGAAGCGGCACTTAGTTCCCAGAGGGGTGAACTACAGCGGAAGTCCTTTTAAAAAGTCTCCAAAGTCAAACCGTCTTCGATAGCTATTGAGGAGAACCTACGTTCTGTTAAGAGAAACCCTGTGCAGTATAGTCATCTTCAGAAATTGTCCCAGAAACCCCTTACACAGCCTCTGGCAAGTGTTAAAGTCGAACACACAGCACAGAGAACAGGCACTCTCATATGTTGGGGAAAGGGGGCATGGTAAATGGGCACGACCTGTTTTTTTTAAGCAACTTAATATTTTATTTTATTTTATATTGTTATTTTTTATCCTCACCTGAGGGACATGCTTAGAGCCAAAGGGAGAGAGAGAGAGAAGGAGAGAAGCATTGATTAGTTGCCTCTTGCATGCACCCTGGCTGGGAACAGAACCTGCAACCCAGACCTGGAATCCAACCCACAACCTTTCCACTCACAGGACCACGCTCCAACCAACCGCGTCACACCAGCCAGGGCGGCACCACCTGTTTTAATGGTAACAGTACGGTCCAGACTCGAACTGTGTAGACCCAACAATCTCAGTCTAGAGATTTGAGCCCTAGAAAAACTTGTAGAAATGGGCTAAGATAAGTACAAAGATTCTATTCCGTCTTTTTGTTACAGTGAACTGTCAAGAACCCAAATGCCAATCTGTTAAATAAATCATGGTACCTCTGCGTTAGCAATATAATGCAGTCACTAGAAAAAAATAAATGATGTTACAGTTACAGTGGAGTCGATGGCAGAAACACTCGGTTTTGTGCTAGAACCTCCAGCTGTGTGCCCTGGATCGAGTCAGTCTCTCTGAGCCTCTGTTTCTGATGTGCAAATGGGGTGGTTCAGCCTTCACTGCCCAAGAGTTGAGAAGCATCGAGGAAACCGGGCACGGTGCTCGGCACAGCATTAGGGGTACGGTGGCTCCAGGCGGTTCACAGTCTAGCTGGGCGCAGACAATGGAATGAGTAACTCCAAACAGGGTGCTGGGCTCAACAGCGCAGTGCTCCCCAAACCACCCTAATGTAGTCACAGCTCAGGCAGAGGAGATTTACACGGAGCACTTAGAAAAGCAAAGGAGTGGGGCGGTGAGCATGCGCTCCAGCCGGACTGCATGGGTTCTAATTCTGGCCCCGCCATGTTCATGGGCTGTGTCACCTTCAACAATTCCTTGATCTCTCAGCCTCAGTTTCCTCATCTGTAAAATGGGGATAATGTAAGTACCTACCTCATAGAGTTGTTGCAAGGACTAAATAAATTGATATGTGTAAAGTGTTTAGACAGGACATAGTGTATATATATATATATATATATATATATATATATATATATATACTGTGTGTGTGTGTATATATACACACACACACACACACACACACACACACATCAGGTGCTAAGCCATAAAGTGTCTTTCAAGGGCACAGTAAGTCCCTGACAGGCCCTCATTACCGTAACCACTTTAAAACCAGGACAGAGAAACCTCATACATGTCAGTGTTTTAATGTCAATCAGCTCAGCAGTCGTTAAAATGCGGTCAGTGAATGTGGAAGGCCATGTCCCAGTGACCTAGCGTGGGAACGGAGTCCCTAAGACAGCAATCTGGCTTCCGGATTAACTAGGGGTCGGGGAGGGCAAGATGTGTTTTCCAGGAGAGTCAAAGGAATGGGGGTACTCGGGTATCCATGGGGTCCTTTTGGCCAAGGTAAAGCAGGTCCCCCTGCCGGAGGTGCTGTCCACTCACAGGCAATCCAAGGGCGGCCTGGCCTTGGTTTCCAGGCTGCGTATTTTTTTGGGGGGGAGCTGAGCTGGAAGCCTTATCGTGGAGCCTGGGCTCTTTCTGTCTTCTCTGCCAGGGTGGGGCTGTCTGGGACGTGTGTGTCTGAGTGCTCTGGTGGTTGGGTAGGCGGGAAGGGGCCTCGGAGCCACCCTGATTAGCATCTTAATTTCTGGAGCAAAGGTATTCCGGCCTTGCTCAACCAAGCTGCTGTGGGCCATTTCCCAATCACTCCTTTCATTTCTTCCTGCCTCTGCTTGCCTTTACTGAGCGTGCTGCGTTTGCTAGGTGTCCCTGCGCTGCTGGGGACGGTGCAGGGCTGAATGGGTGGGGGTATAAGCTGACTCTCAGCTGGCGTTATCGGGTACACTGGACGTGAGCGAGCAGACCGCATCCACATCCTGTGGACCAACTCCACAGCTGTGTGATCTTAGGTGAGTCTCTTAGCTTCTCTGGGCTTGCCAGTCATCTACGAAATGGGGATGATTCTTTCTACCTCACTAGTCTTTGATGGGCTTGATGAAGTCATGGAGGGGAAAATATTTTACAAGGTTTAGAATATCGGGCATCTATGAGGGCTGCTTTATTGTTGAGGAGATTTATCTTTCCCTAATGAGTGTCTCTCAGAAGCGTGGGCACTGTAACTCCATCAGGGGGTGCAGTTTTTTTAGATGTGGTTTCCAGTTTAAAGCTAATCAGCACAGTGTCTGGCATTTCTCATTCAGCTTTCGGTTGGGAAAATGTTCTGTCGTTGAGGGCCACCCAAAGCCATTAGCTCTACTTGGCAGGGCAGCGAGCGGTGCGCCCTCACTTTCTTTCTTGCTGCGGGCCTGAGTCAGCGTCTCTGCTCTCCGCTGTCATCTCGTCCGTGGAGGCCTGGATCACCCTGGTGTCCCCATAAGAACACACCGATGCACTACACTGACAACGTCAAGCTGTTCCCAGTGAGCAGGAACTAGCAAGCACACCAGATGCTTTAGGAAGCCCCGGGGGGTATGTAAACCCCATGGTGTGCAGAAGCCTGGCACCTTGGTGGAGTTTCCAGGGTTCCAGGGGTTAGGAAATGTCAGGTCATCCCCTCCGATAAAAGGCAGGTTGCTGCTGCTATCCCGAAGAAAAAAAACACAACTGGTAGCCCTCTGGATCTGGGAGGCAGGGTACCCCCGTCTGTGGGTGCAGCTCCAAACCGTTCACTGAGTAACCCGTCAGACAGCCGGTGTTGGGTGGGCGCCAAAGCAGGTTTAGGCTGCAGTGCAACGTGCTCTGCCAGCTGAGCCACGTGACCCAGTCTGTCCAGTGGTGCTTCAACTGGCTGTCACGTTTAGAATTGTCTGGGCAGAGCCCCCAGCGAGCCCCAATAGGGAAATCTCAGTGCCCCTCCCTAGGACTTGGAACAAAGTCATATCCTCTTCTGCAAGTAACAACTGTTATTTTGAAATGTAGTGTCTGCCTTGCTGTTGGGCCCTGGTAGAGACCGAGCACCTGACCTTGAGACACTGAGAGACTGCAACCCGAGCCGCCCATCGTGAACTGGATGCCACCCGATCCATCAGCTGTAAAGCTAGGCATGCACCTCAGCATTCTGTTATCAAGTGGGAGCGAAACCACTCAGGCTGCGTCACCCATTCCTGCCACATTGCCACCTCTTCCTCAGTCCACACCTAAGACCTCGGGGTAAATCCTCATGATCAATGGATGGAGGAAGAAAAAGCTCAGGCTGGGTACCAACCAGAAGTGGGTGGTTGCAGCACTACAGGGACGCCCTGAAAGGCACTGGAGAAGGGAACTCCTGCCAGTGACCGGCACTTCAGACAGTGCCGCTGGCCCTCCGTATCTGCAGGTTTTGCATCTGCGGATTCAACCCACTGAGGATCAAAAATATATTATTGTGACTATTATTTTTTTATCTTTAGAGAGGGGAAGAGAGAGAGAGGGAGAGACACATTGATTAGGTACCTTCCACACACCCCCTGACCTGGGACCAAGCCTCCAACGTAGGTGTGTGCCCAGACCAGGAATTGAACAGGCGACCTTTCAATTTGCAGGACAACGCACAGCCAGCTGAGCCACATGGGCTAGAACCCAAAATATATATATTTTAAAATGGTACATTGTTGTTGTGTGTTAGGCCTTTGAGGGTTGCATCTGTACCAAACATGTATAGACTTTTTTCTTGTCATTCCTTAAATAATACACTACAACTATTTCTATAGCATTTACATTGTACTAGATGTTATCAGTAATCTAGAGGTGATTCAAAGTGTACAAGAGGATGTGTGTAGGTGATAAGAAAATACCGTGCCATTTTATATATGTAAGGGCTCGAGTATCCATAGATTCTGATATCCGCAGGGGTCCAGGAACCAGTCCCCCACGAATAATAAGGGACAACTGTACATATTACAGTTGTCCATCTAGATGGAGACAGAAGTTCAGAAATATGGATCTGCGCATTTTCAGGAGATGGACGTATGGTCAGGGCTGGAGGAGTGGTGATAAGGAGATCTGTAGGAGAAGGTATTGGACAGACCTGTAACAGTGGGCACAGAAGGGGAGGGTATCTGTATCCTCTGTAGTTAGTGCCCTGAAGATGGCCACTTCAGAGGAGACCATCAATAAACAGATGGGCCAGACAGACGACTTGTCCTGCAGATGTCAGTCCTTTCCCAGCAACCCCATCCTTGCTCTCAACATACAAAACGGCCACCATAATCGAGTTAGAGGTTATAAGTGGACACAACAACATGGACTTCCTCTTACCAAGACTGATTTAGGTAACTTCCGGTCAAGATGGAGGTGTAGGTAAACACACTTTGCCTCCGAATGCAACCACAGAAAGAATTACAACTAGACCTTAAAACAAATAACACTGAGAACCATCAGAAAATCGAGCTGTATGGAAGTCCAACAACCAAGGATTTAAGGAAGCCACATCCATCCAGATGGGTGCCTTTTCTACAATAGGGTCCACTACTAGGACAAGGGGTCAAAGCAGCTGTACCTAATACACAGAAATGAGCACAGGGAACCTACCAAATTGAGGAGACAAAGAAATATGGCTTGGCCCTGGCTGGTGTGGCTCAGTGGATTGGACGCCAGCCTGTGAACCAAAAAGTTGACGGTTTGATTCCCAGTCAGGGCATGTGCCTGGGTTGAGGAGGTCCCCAGCTGGGAGTGTGCAAGAAGCAACCAATTGATATCTCTCACTGATGCTTCTCTCCCTCTTTTTCCCTCTCTTCACCTCTCTCTAAAACAAAGTCAGTCTTGAAAAAAGAAAAAAAAAGAAACATGGCCAAAATGAAAGAACAGAACAAAACCCCAGAAAAAAGTACTAAAAATGGAGATAACCAATCTATCCGATGCAGAGTTCAAAACACTGGTGATCAGGATGCTGAGAGAACTCATTGAGTATGGCCACAAAATAAAGGAAGGAGTGAAGGATACACTAAGTCAGGGTGTCAAACTCATCTTCACCGGGGGTCATAACATCAGCCTCGTGGTTGCCTTCAAAGGGCTGAATGTAATTTCAACTCCTTAACAGTTAAGGAGTAGTTACATTTATACAGTCTGAAAATTATTTCGGCCCTTTGAAGGCAACCACGAGGCTGATGTGGCCCCGGTGAAAATGAGTTTGACATCCCTGCACTAAGTGAAATAAGAAAAATGTACAGGGAACCAGCAGTGGAGGGGATGAAACTGGGACTCAAATCAATGATTTGGAGCATAAAGAAGAAATAAGCATCCAACCAGAACAGCAAGAAGAAAAAAGAATTCAAAGAAACGAGGATAGTATAAGGAGCCTCTGGGACATCTCCAAATGTGCCAACATCCAAATCATAGGGATGCCAGAAGGACAAGAGGAAGAGCAAGAAATTGAAAACTTATTTGAAAAAATAATGAAAAAAACCTTCCCTAAACTGGTGAAGAAAATAGACATTCAAGTCCAGGAAGCACAATGTTCCAAGCAAGATGGACCCAAAGAGGGCCACACCAAGACATATCATAACTAACATGCCAAAGGTTAAAGACAAAGAGAGAATCTTAAAAGAAGCAAGAGAAAAGCAGATAGTAACTATAAAGGAGTTCCCATAGGACTGTCCCGATTTCTCACAAGACACTCTGCAGGCTGAAAGGAACTGGCAAGAAGTATTCAAACTGATGAAAAACAAGGACCTACAACCTAGATTACTCTATCCACCAAAGCAATCATTTAGAATGGAAGGGCAGATAAAGTGCTTCCCAGACAAGGTAAAGCTAAAGGAGTTCATCATCACTAAGCCATTATTACATGAAATGTTAAAGGGACTTATTTAAGAAAAAGAAGATCAAAAATATGAACATTAAAATGGCAACAAATTCACAACTATCAACAACTGAATCTAAAAACAACAAATTAAGTAAACAAGCAGAACAGGAACAGAATCATAGATATGGAGATCATTTGGAGGATTATCAGCTGGGAGGGGAAAGGAGGAGTATAGGGGAAAAGGTGCAGGGATTAAGAAGCATAATAGGTAGGCACAAAATAGACAGGGAGGTTAAGAATGGTATAGGGAATGGAGAAGCCAAAGAACTTATATGCATGGCCCATGGACATGAACTAAGGGGGAATGCTGGAGGGAATGGGGGTACCAGGCAGAAGGGGGCAAAGGGGGAAGATTAGGACAACTGTAGTAGCATAATCAATAAAATATATTTTAAAAAATAAATAAACATAAAGAAGACTGATTTAGCTAAAACCATCCCGCTGAGGGCCCAGCTTGCACCATTCCCCATAGGAACCAGCCACCTCGTGGTAGGTCTATTCCATTGACCTCCCCCATCATGGAGGGAGCAGCAGTTGGTATATTCTGCATATGGATTTGTCTTCTTTGACGACCACTACGTCCATGGACACCTTGGTTCCAGTCTTGGTACTCCAATTCAACATGGTTTCTGACCAAAGAGTTGATATCACAGCAAAAGAAATGAGGCAGTGGGATCCTACCTATGGAATTTTCTGGTCATATCACATATTCTAGTATCTAGAAGCAGCTGGATTTATAGAACATCGAAGTGGCCCACTGAAGACTTGCCTCCTGAGGGGCCCAGCTGGGAGACACTGCAGCGTTTGAGTGCTGTCTGCAGGATGCGGGACGTACTCTAGACCGGTCACAGTGCTGTTTCTCCACACGCAGAAAATACGGATCCAGCCATGCCCAGGTGGAAATGGGAGGGACTACTTTCACTATTGCACAAAATAACCCATTCACAAAAAGGTTGCTTTCCATCCCTGGAACTTTGGACTTTGAATGACTAGTGATTACAGTTCTCAAGGAAGGAATGTGAGGGAATACATGGATTGACTTAGGAGCTGAGACTGCCACGTGGCCATTCTGAGCTCCTCATACCATTGCAACTACGGGCAAAGCAGGTTCCTCTGCTGGCTGGCGCCGTGGGCCTGATCGCCGGGGGTGGGTGGGGTGGCTGCTGCAGTGGTGGCATGGAAGCCTGTGCATGAGAACTAGAGGAGTCTCTGGGTGCCCTGTTGTACGCCACGTCCGATGGTAAAAGATTAATGGAAGACTACAGCAGCCCGAGTTTGAGTCACTTCATCAGGAAAATACCCCAGCCATGAGGTTCTGGCTGAGGTAAAAAAAAAAAAACCCACAGAATAGCTAGTAGAAAAAGAGATATTACAAATATCATCCATGGCCTTTTGATTGGTCACAGAAATGAGGGCTGTAGCAGCTATGAGTAGTTCCTGCTTGTCACATACGTGTATATACCGTATACGGGAATGCTGGTGATGGTTAAATTGACATTTTTTAATCTATCAATCTATGTATCTATCTTACAGTGTATTGAGGCATGGTCTGTAGTCAGAGGTGGAAGGAGAAGAGAATCCAGCATCATCCAGAGTGATGTCACCGACCGATGGGGATCTATGGGTCTCATTTTCGGAGAGAAGGTATATCGTCATTTCAGGAGAGCTGTTGGCCCTGTTAGGATGAAGGGTGCTATTGTTCTTGAGTGGAGTTTAATTATGAGTGGGAAGGGTCTGTGTCGATGTTTGAGTAGCAAAAGGGGTGGACAGTCTCTAAGTACTCGCCCTGTCTTGGCCCTGACTATTTTTTCTTTTCATCTTGATGAAAAATTCTTATGCATTTTTATAAAATAAAAGTATGCCTTGTGTTACACAAATTTTACTTTTTTGGTTTAATGTTCTTGGGCATTTTAATACATTTTTCCCTCTGGGAAATTTGGGGGGCAGGCCCCTGGATGCCCCCTGAAGGTCCGTTTACAGGTTAACATGAGGAAATGGCCTTGAACAGAGTCATAAACTGTGAAGCACTGTGTCCAGCTGAGACTGAGGTGGGTTTACGCCAACGGCAGAACTTGGCAGTCTATCCAGAAACCATCCCCACGCTGAGCAACTTGAGGCCTGAACTCAGCCCTTGCCAGCTCCTGTGGGGCACTGAGTCTGAACCTCACGTCTCTACCGCTCTGATCCCAGCCTCTGGAAATGAGAGCTAGTGGGACAACACGGGTTTACAAATGAAAAGCAAATGCTTCTCCTGGATGCTTTATTGGGGGCTTTCAGTGGTTTCTAAGCATGAGCGGCAGTGACATCCAGACCCTCTCCCAACATGCAAAAGGCACAGGAAAGTGAGACAAGACCAGGGCAGGCAGCGTAGACACAGAGACCCCCCTGCAGGGCAAGGCGGGGCACAGGAGGTGCCCCACGAGGGGTGGGAGAGGAGGGCATTCGAGGAGATGGTGCTGGCAGAGGCAAGGAGAGGGGCTTGAGGGCTCGTCCACCTCCAGACCCACCCCTGCACTCCGGCCGGGACTGACCTTCTGAGATGGCGAACATGGCTTTTGCTGAAAGCCCACCTCACACGGGGGGAAATCAACTCCGTGGGAAGAGGATGACGGACGCTGCCTTCAGGGATTACTGGTAAGGTGCCACATGGAGCTCACTGACCACATCAGGAGGGGAAGGAGAGTGTGCTTGTGGCGTCGGTCCCAGTCACGGCCTGGCGGCTGGGTGCCACTGCCTCGGCCCGAGCCAGTGCCGTCTCAGTCCACGTCCAGGAGAAGAATGAAGTCCCTTCCAATCTTCAGGGGCCTCCCAGGGGGTCTCCGGGTCTCTAGCCCCACCCCTAGGTACCACTGAGAAGAGTTGAGTCTTGATGTTGGCTTTGTCCTGTGGAAGAGTTCCCTGGGCAAGAGGGAAGGGGAGGCGAGGGGTCAGGCCCCCTGAGCCCCCAGCACCTCCCAGAACCTGGGCCCTGGTGGGTGAAATGGCCTGGGACTCACCTCAAATCCTAACCAGTGCCCACAGTGCCATCTCGAGGCCTTGAGTCAAAAGAAAAGGCATTCATGTTTTGTTTCTGTTCTCTCTCTCTCTCTCTCCTTTAGTAGAGCCGTGGCTTCACCTCACGGCATTGGCAATGTCTACTTCTAAACTATGGAATGTTTTCACACTGACAATAGAGTTACTCCAAACAAGGGGTGGGGAGGGGCTGTCTGAGTGTTCATGACACAGTGCGTTACTGAGAGCTCGTTGGGGTCACACAGCACAGAGACACCGACAGTCAGACGCCAAGCCCGGGCCCGGCTTGGCTCTAGATGTATTTTTTCTTGAGGTACCAGTAGGCAAAGTAGCCCATCCCACCCAGGGAGCCCATGAGGAAGGAGGCCCCGAAGAAAGATGGCGGTTTCCGCTTGACCAGCCGGAACGCGTTGGGGATGACGGCTGACAGCAGCGTGGTGTGAATGTCGCCGAGGACCTTCCGGAAGGCGAAGCGCTTCTGGACCCTCTCGAAGAACGACTGCAGGTTGGGCCGGCTGCCATCTTCCCAGTATTTCTTGGACAGTCCCAGGAACTTGAGGCGGTGCAGGGTGGCTCCCAGGAGGACGTCGGCGAGGGTGAAGGCACAGCCGCAGAGCCACAGCTCACATTTCTGCCCTGGAGCGGGGAGAGAAGGGGTGGGGGCAGGAGGGGTCAGCTTTGCAACCCCCGAGCATGCACTCCTCTCGCACGGACTCCTCTGGGGGTCGGCTGCCTGCCGAGGTGCTTCCCCAGGGTCGCTCACTCCTGCACCGCTCCAGTGATGTTTGCTGTACCCCTGTAGTACCCATCTGTTTGTTCTTTAAATCAACCTAGTTTTTAAGCGCAAGCCCTGAGCTTTGGGGCTTCAATATTTAGATGCTGGGCAGGAGGAGGAATCAGTGAAGGGCCACAGGAGGGAGCGGCCTGGGGGGGTTGGGAGATAGCCCACGAGTGGGTGATGTCGTGAAGCCAAGATAAGATGATGTTGCGAGGAGAAGGGGGCACTCAGCTGTGTCCCAGGACTGCGGAGAGGCCAAGTACGAGGAGGCCTGAGAATGGCGGCTGCAGCTGGCAGTCGGTGACCTTGACAAGAGCAGCGGGAGTAGATGCTGACGATGAAAGCCCGGCTGGAAGGAGTTCAAGAGAGAAAGGGAGGAGAAGAACTGGAGACGGCAAGCGAAGATCACGCCTTCAAGGTGTTTTGCTGGAGTGGGAAGGATACACTAATCATCTGAGACAGGTCAAGAGTGGTTTTGTATGTTGGGAGGAAAAAACCAGCATGTGGATGGGGATGATCTGGCGGAGAAGAAGATTTCTGCTCTTTTTCATTTGATTCTACAGCAGAGAGTGGAGAGAATTAGTGATGGGGTGTCCTCAAAGGGGTTGAACGTGAATGGCATCTAGGAAACAAGGACAGGACCGGCCTTAGCTAGGGTGAGGACAGTTCATCCTCGGTAACGGGACAGAGTGCGGGACGCCATGGTTCACTGAATCTAAGTTGCCGTCAAATGTTCAGACGGCCACCCTGCAGAGAACGAGCGGTGCCAACTAAGCTACTGACGGTGAGAAACACTCCAGTTTCAGAGAAGTGACGGTGGTACGATTTAACAAGGACGCATCTCAGAACTGGTACAATAGAGTGTCTGTGTGGACACGAATGCTGCTGGGCAAGTACTTGTGGGGGTCAGAGCGGTGGACACCTCTCCCTAAAGCTTCCGCTTCCTGTGATATAGAAGGAAAGTGACCAATTGAGAGTGAGGATGTGGGCGAAGCGGTGGGAGGGCCGAGGAGAAAGGAGAAGGTATTAAGTAGCCATCTGGAGAGGGGACAGTGGGAGGGCTAGGGCAGCAAGAAGGCCACCTAAGGCCAGTGGCCGTGAAGTCAAAGCAAGCACAGCCAGCACCCCTGTGTGTTCACCCAGTCACATTTAGGCTCACGGGTGCAGGTGCTGAAGAGGCAGAGGGTGGCTGAACCAGGTTTGAGGGTTTGCAGAGTGAGTACGAGGAAACGAGACAGGTGCGGGCCGGGGAGAGCTCTTGGCCACGGTCAGGGGATTACCGCCAGGGAAGGAGGGAGGTGAGCAGGAGGGGGTGAGGGGCAGCGCGAGGGGGCAGGATCGAGGGGTGGAAGTCCCGGCACAGCCCGAGCGAGGACAGACAGGCTTGAGAACAGGACCAAGGGCAGCCCTGGGCCACGCCAAGGTCCAGACACTGTGCAGTGAGGAGAAGCCAGCACCGGCACGGGGGAAGAGTGACCTGTGAGGGGGGCGACAGATGGGAGAGTGTGGTGGTTTCCCTAGTCCTCACTACGATTTGATGACGTAGGTGCCATTGTTATCCCCATTTTACAGATGAGGAAGCAGAGGCACACAGGAAGTAAATGGGAGGGCAGAGTCTGGGCGTGAACGTGGGCTGTCTGGGTCCAGAGCCTGTGTGTGTGACCACTGCATTACATTGCTTCTTCCCACGTGCCGATGAACGTGGGCATACGCCCGCCTCTCCACGTACACCCGGGCCCCTTTTGATAGGTGCGTTCTTTACTTGGGTCTGGGTGCAGATCCGTCTATGTGTCCGTACCCTGTATGGTGTGCACGTCTGCCCAAATCCATGCCGCTGATTGTGTGTATGCGTGTGAATAGCTGCACCCATGGGTGCCCGTGTCCACGTGCTGTGAAGATCACCGTGTGTGTAAGTGCAGTGTGTGCCCGCATCCAGTGGCTATCTGCCAGCAGACAGGTGTTCACAGGCATGCGTGTGTGTGTCACTAAGAACGTCCATGCCTGTGTTTATGTTTGTAGGCAAACACTGATAACCATGAGTACGTGTGTGTGGGCACACGTGTAGCTATCTGGCACGTCGCCAGAGGGCCAACTCCTTCAGCTCCAACCCCCTGCCCCCCACCCCGCCCAGGCTGTGCAGAGTTCCCTTGGCAATCCCAGCCCCACTCGAACCCCATCGTGGGCCTCCCTCAGTCTGCCAGCCAAGTCTGCCGGAGACGCTCACGCCGACCAGTTACTCTGTCAATGATGACCGCAAAGCCCACGGGGGCACTCAGCCCTGCCCGGGGCCTGCACGAGCTCTCAAGCAGGCTCGCCCCCCATTCCCTGCAGAGAGCTGCACATCTCCCATCTCGCCTCGCACCTCTCTCCGCTCTCTCTCAGCTGACGGCGTCACCTCGCGCTTCATTCCGAAAACAGGAGCCTTCGGACGTGGAGGCCCTGACTCCCCACCACGAAGCCCGCACACCCAGGCACCTGCATGTGCCTGCTGCCACCTCCCGACACAGTGGCAGGTGCAATCCACCTGCTCTCGAGGCCAGGCTCTGCACACCCGTCTGACGCTGCCCGTCTCCCCTCTGCCCTTCCAGATCCACTCCCCTCTCTTGTCTGCCCTGCCCTGCGCCCGGGAGGACGACTCTGACTCCCGGGGGCTCAGGCAATGGGGAGCAGCGGAAGGAGACAGGAGGGCAGTGAGAGTGAGGTCCTGCATCCTTCAGGCTCCTCTCTGCGGGTCGCCATGCCCTGGCTGTGTCCCCAGAGTGACAGTCACAGCTGCTGCCAGGTGGCCCTCCCCACACAGTTTGTCTGTCCACTGTCAGAACCCGCTCCCACCCCTCACGACCTCAGGCCCGGGGTGCCACACTTTCCCCTGTGGTTTGTTTCCCTGAAGCCTGCCCACGTTTGTGGACAGTCCCCGTGACAAGCCCTCTCTCTTCAGCCATCCAAGGTGAGGTCACCCTGTTTCCTATGGGGACCTGCCTGGACCACACCCCTCCCGGCCTTACCCGGGCTTCGCATCGCCGGCCCTGCATCATCATTCCTTTCTCCTGTCCACTGGGCTGTTTCCACCAGCCTGAAACACACCCCTGTGCCTGCCACTTAAAAAATAACCCTCCCTGCACCCCGCAGCCTTCTTCAGCCCCCACCCATCTCTCTACTCCCTTCTACAGATCAACTTCTCAAAAGAGTTGTCTCCACCCGTCGTCTACACTTCCCCTGTTCACTCTTCAGCCCTTTGCCCCCACATCCCAGTGAAACTGCTCTCGGCAGGGTCACCACCAACAGCCAGGGGACAACACCCACGGGCGCTTTCCTGTCCGTGTTAACTCAGCCTCCCGGCCCCGTCTGGGCGCCTGGGTCACAGGGTCCTCCTACCTCACTGGCCACTCCAATTTGGTCGACTTCGCCTGCCTCTCTGCCTCTACCCCTCTCTCAATGTGGGGGAACCTCGGGGCAGGTGTGGGGCTTTAAAATGTGCCCACAGGTTGGTACCCCTCCCTTTGGTGAGGCCCACTTCTCCTCCCCTTAGCCACGGGCTGTGTTTCATGCCTTGCTTCTAAGGAATACAATGTGGCACAAGTGACAGTGACTTCCGTAAGTCATGAAAGGCACCGTGGCTTCTGCTGCCTCCCCCTCTTTCCTGGATCACTTGTTCAGGGGAGAGCCAGCTGCTCTGTTGCAAAGGAACGCGAGCAGCCCTGCTGAGATGCCCACGTGGTGAGGAGCCGCGGTCTTCTGCCAACAGCCGGTGGGGAACTGAGCCGTCCAGTTCAGAGCCCTGAGGGCGAGCCACCGTGGAAGCCAGCCCTCCAGCTCAGAGGACCGACCGCAGCCCCCGCCAACAGCCGGGCTGCAGCCGCCGGCATCACACACCCCTCGTCGGAACCACCCAGCCGGGCTGCTCCGGAGCTCCTGATGCACAGAAGACGTGAGACCCCAGAAACGCTGTGTGTCTGAGTTGCTAGGTGCGGGAGCAATCTGTTACACAGCAGCGGGTGACGAACGCCGCACATCTTGATCCCTCTTCTCGTCTCGACTCTCTCCTGGATGAAACCATCCAGTTCTGTGTCTTTAACCACCACAGAGATGCTGAAGACTTGTCAGTCTCTCTCTCTAAATTCCCACCTCTCCTTTGAAAGCGACACCAGAATATCCAATGGCTTATGCGAGAGCCCCTCTTGGGTGTCTCGAAGGCACCTCACACCTACTGTGTCTCAAAGTGAACGCTTGGTCCTCCTTGGCTGTAGCAGGAAGTGGTAGCACTCAGGAGCTGGCTCCACCTAGGGGTCTGAACTAGGATGTTATCACACCTCCCAACCCTGGCCTCTGCCCCACAAGGAGAGAAGTGGGCACATCCCCCTCAGGCAGGTTTGAGGGCCCGCCCCCTGAGCACCCTGAGGGTGCATGAGCAGGAGAGGCTGTGTGGGCCCAGCCAGTCCGACCTTCAAATCCCATAGCCACCCCCTGGGCCTCTGCTGCATCCCTCAGCCCCAAGGGGCGCCAGGGCTGTCCACGCCTCTCCATCCTGAACAACCCCGGCCACCTGGCCGTCAGGCAGTGCAATGCTGCCTCCTCTCGGAAGGCCTCGGAACCCAAACAGGGAGTGCGGACAGGAGGTCCTCGGGCTAGGATCCTCTGAGGAATGTGCGTCCATGGCTGCTCTCCAGGGCCGGCCACCCTGGCCTCCGTCCAGGTCAGACCCTGTGTCCCCCTTGATCACACAGCAGCTGGTGTTTGCCGGCACTTCCAACAGCAACACGCCAGGCAGTGAGCGCGCTGAGCCCCTGACACGCATTTTCTCACTGACCCTCGCGACAGCCCTGAGAGGGAGGTGCTCACTTCCCTTTTGCAGGATAGAAGAGGCACCGGGGCTGGTGTTTAAGAATGGCTGCAGGAGCCAGTGTGTGAATCCAGGCTCCGCCTCTTCCATCTGTGTGGCTTTGGGAAGGTTACTGAGCCTCTCCGTGCCTTCATTTTTTTTCATCTGTTAAATGGAGTTACTCATATGACCTACCTCCTAGAGTTACCATGGGATTAAATGAGTTGAAATACATGAAGCAGTAAAAACGGTGCCTGGCACACAGTAAGTGTTGTTAAACACACAAATCGTGATGGGCCATGCTGGGTCCCTCCAAAATTCCTATGTGGAAGTCCTAGCCCCAGTGTCTCAGACAGCAACTGTGTTTGGAGAACGAGCGTTTAAAGAAGTAAGTTAAAACAAGGCCCTCAGGGTGGGGGCTGACCCAGCCTGGCTGGCGTCCTCATCAGGGGCGGATTTCTGCTGCGGCCCCAGGGCCACGCCCACAGAGGACAGACCGGGCGAAGGCACAGCAAGCGCGCGGCCAGCTGTCCGCTCGAGGGAGAGGCCTCGAAGGAGAAAACTGAAAAACAAAACCCACCAAACCTCAGCAGGAACCAACACCTTGGTCTCGGACTTCTGGCCTCCAGAACTGTGGGAAAAGAAGTCTCTCGTGTCCAAGTCAGCCAGTGTGTGGTACTTTGTTATGGCCGCCCTGACGGATCGATAGGTAAATATATAAAGTGCACTCGAGAAGTAAGGTCCCCCAGCCAGAGAACGGCGGCGCTGGGGCTCTGTCTGACCCCAGGGGCCGTTCGGCCCCTCGCCACTCTCCCCAGTGGTGCCCCTCAGCACCTCTCTGACGCAGGTGAAAATGCTTCTCCTTGAGGTACGTGTGATTCTTCCTCTCTTAGCCACACCATCTTTTTTTTTTCTCAGAGAGTATTTAAGGTCGCTGGCTTTGGTGCACACGAGACAGGGCCCCTGTTGCGGACTGTGGGTACCTGAGCGTGCCTTGTGCTCGGGGCCTCAGTGGTGAGACGCTGCAAGAGCGCTGGGCCCATCGGGAGGGAACTGCTCTTGCCCTGACTACGCTAGTTACAGGCAGTGTGACCTTGAGCGAGTCACCTGATCTCTCTGAGCCTCAGTTTTCTCATCTGGAGAAGGTACATGTCTTCAGCTCTCATGTTTTATTAAACTAGTATGTTCCAGGCACTGTACTGGGTGCTTTTAATTTTCACAAGAGTGCAGCACCGGGGCTAAGGTTTTAAGTTGCATTCACCCCATGTCACAGGTGAGGAGACTGAGGCTCCATTAGGGAAAGTGACTTGTCCAAGCCACACAGCACAGGCAGCAAAGCTGGAACTCTAACTCAGATCTGCCTGACTGGAAACTCATCTTTTAGAACATGGTGCTCCATGACTCATCAATATACACAGTCGTGTGTGTGTGTGTGTGTGTGTGTGTGTGTGTGTGTATGGCTCAGTGTAGCGGGCTCGTTACAATGGCACGTTACGTAGGCTCCATAAGTCGTGTAGCTGAACAGATGGAAGACAGAGCCTAAGACAGAGCAACGGGAAGGTCTAGAATGAAATTTGAAAAAGAGCTGTTGCAAAGAGTTTTGTAAAAGGAAGAAGGAGCTGGGCAGTGTGGAGAGAGTGCTCCGGGCTGGACAAACTGCAGGGGCAAAGATGCAGAGGTGGGAATGACGCTGGACTGCCCGGGGTCCAGAGAAGAGAGCCTCTTGAGAACAGAGTCAAGGTCGGAGCGTCTGGGTGAGCCCAGACGTCTGGCTGCAGCACGAAGAAGCCATAACACGTCCTCGACCAGGGGAAAGGTTACCATCACCACCACCGCCTCATCATCTTCACCAGCCTTTACTAAATGCCTACTGTGCGCCAGCTGCTGATCTAAGCACTCTACATGTATTATTTCATGCAATTTCTCAACATCTCTCTGAGGAAGGTCTTACTATTACTCCATTTTGTAGCTGGAACCTAAGATCCAGGGAAGTTGAGTATGTGACCCATTGTCACTCAACCAGCAAGTGGACAAGCTAGGACTTAAACCTAGGTCTGCCTGACTCCATGGCCCATGATCCTAACCACCTGGGAGGGGCCCTCTGAGATCTTTGGGGGGATAAAAGAGGTTGCAGCTGGTCAGGGTCAGGGTCAGGGTGGGGAGGGGTGGACGGCACCAGCACCTACCGACCCCAGGCTTGGTACCCACCCTCATTCTCGAGCTTCCTCTTCTCCAGCTCAGCCTCAATCTGGTCCAACACCATGGCCAGCTCCCCGAGGATCTTCTTCAGGTAGCTCACATCGTCATGCTCCAGGATCTTGGCCTGAGGGCAGCACAGGCAGAGGCCAGAGGGGCTGAGTTGGCCTCCATGGAGCTGGGGTGACCAGAGCTTGGCCCAACACCCTTCTGCAAGCCCAGTCTCCAAACATCCTCTCAAGAGTATAGGACGCCCCACTGTGACAAAGGACCCTCAGCCAGTGCTCACGGCATTCCGTGAGCTTGGCTGTCCTGCCCAGATCCCTTTCACGGGGCTGGACCCTCACCCTCCAGCTGCTGGGAGGGCTGGTTGATAGTGGCTCAGAGCTGCCCCTTCTCCAGAGAATTGCTCTTGGCTAATGAGGACTTGCTCAGAAATACTTGGGAGGTTGCCCACACCCTTCAACCCTTCAACCTCCCGCCAGAATCTGTAGCCAATGGTTGGTTGATGTGAGGATATCAAAGGCTGACCCCTGGCCTCAAGGTGGATTGACTTTGTGCTCCCTGTCGGATCAGGTGAATTTGGTCCTTTCTTCTTTTCTATACCACACACCCCCACCCCCGCACCCCATTCTTACTGGGCTGTCCTCAGAACACTCCCTCAATACCCAAGAACCTCTGTTCAATACACACTCTGCTTTTAGGGACACAACCCCAGACATGAGGAAACTGAGGCTCCAAGGGGACAGTGGCTTGCCCAAGGTCCAACAGCCAGTAAGTGACAGGGGACACAGGACTGGAAAAGCAAGCCAGAGGATTTCCCATTTCACGTCATCAGCTGATTCTCTACCTAGAACTAGCTGCTCCCAGTCGTCCTCTTCCATGGGAAAGACAATGGGAAAGAACAATGCGCAGGCCTGGGGGCACTCACCATGAGTTTCTTCTGCTTAGAAAGGTAGGGCTCAGAGAGCTGGGGCTCCTCTTCGTGGTCCAGTTTCATGAGGTCCGTGGTGGCACTGGCTAAATGTCCTGGGGGGAGAAGAGGAAAGGTCCCGTCCTTCTGATACCCAGTGTCACCCCACCCTTTCCCTCCCAAACTTGGAGTAGGTCCCACACAATAACAAGGACCAACACTTGTGCAGCCAACACTTGAGAGCACAACAGGCTACAACACAGGGACGGCTGAGACGCCATCCTGACGTGGACTTGGGATGATCGGAGGGGTGGACACCTAAGAGACCACTAGTGACTCGGGACGGTCCATCTGGGATGAATAGTGGACAGCACGCTGTGGGACCCAGGGAGCCATCAAGACACCTCTCCGAGGGAGCCATCTTCTCTTGGGGATGAGTAGGAGTTCGTCAGAAATGAATGAAATGCTAAACATGGAAAACTCATGCTTCAGGGCGTGCCTCCCCCAAACCCTCTGTGTGTTGAGGAAGCAGGCTCAGGGGGCTAAACAGGGGTCCACACTAGGGAGAGACAAGCCGGTTCTGAAGCGGGGTCTGCCCGATTCCTGGTCTAGTGCTCGCTCATTGTGCCCACGAGGAAAAACTCGTTTATGGCAAGAAAAACTGTAAGAGACATTTGGCGCCTTGAAACTTCTACTTTTGGTGAGGCAACTTCCCTAGAGATTTAGGGACTTGATGACCTATCTTTTCTTTTTCTTTCTGGAAACCTGGCCTTGCTGACAAAAAGGTGAGAGGGACAGAAAGTGGGTCGACGATGGGAATTCGAGCCAGCACCTTACGAGTTATCCTTAGTGGGAGGGAGGACGCGCCCTGTAATCTAACCTCAAAAGTCTTTGACTTCGAAAGTCTAACGGTGAACTATGGGTTTTACAAGAGGAGGTGGGGATATGAAGTGGGAGAAAATCTTGGGTTCTGTTCCCTCACTGGGGCAGGACTACCTGGAGTTCTTGGCAAGTCGGGGACAGGGAAGGTCAAGTGCGTGGGGGCCCCAATCCTGCTCTGCCCCCTCCCCCAGACCCAGCTCCATTTGGACATCCTTAGGCTTCTGGAAAACATCCTGGCCCAGTCAGCCCCATCATCTTTCCTGCTCCTTCCCTGCACTCTCCTTGAACTGCAGCAGCCCCCCAACCCGCCCCGGCCCCTAAGCCTAGCCAGATGCCTCAGGGTTGTCCTCAACCCCTCCTTGTCCGTCCTCCCCACACCTAGTCGGTCCCAGGTCCTGTTGTTCTTCCTCCTTAGTATTTTTCATATTTACCTTCTCCCTCTCAACCCTCTCACTATCCCTGTTCATCTTTTGCTTGCAGGACTTTGACTCACCCCTGTCTGTGTTTTCTCCATCCCAGGCCTTCCCCCACTTCTGCCCAAGAGACCTTCCTCAAAACACACTTGACCTTGACACTTCCCACTTAAACCCACCCCAGGCTCCTCTCTGCCCTCAGATAACGTCCGAGCTCCTTAACCGGCCTTGAAAGACCCAGCAGGACCCATCTCCTCCGCCTTCACTGACTCCACCTTTCACCAAGTTCCCCCAACTGTCCCCGTGTCCAGATGATAGCATTTTAGCCACTCCAAATGCTTAACATTCCCGGAACGTGCCCGGCCATTCCGAACCTCCGGGCCTTTGCTCACATCCTTCTCTCTCCCCGAACAGGATTCCTCCATCTTCCTGAAAATCCCCTTCCAGATCCAGCTCAAGACCACCTCCTCCACAAAGTCCTTCCTGATCTTCTTGGGGATGACAGCTCAGTGACTTAGCCCCCCGGTGCACACTGCACAGGTTTCTGCCAGAGAATACATGCACGCCAGGCAGAGCTGCCACTGCACAAAGCCATTCACGTGGTAGTCTATGTGAGAGGTGCCCCCTGGACGGTGCAGTGCGCCACCTGTATTGCTGTACGTGGAGATTTTGATGCTGATGTCCTTATCTCTGGGGGTATAGGTCTCCCACCAGGAGCTGAGCTTCTGGAGAGCAGTGGCTATGTCAAGTTTATCTCTATTCTCTTAAAACCCAGTAGAAGCCTGGCCCAGAAAAAGAACTCTGTGAGTGTTAGATGAATGAACGGAATGGCTGAGTAAATAAGTAACCAAAGTCGTTCAGTTTCTGCCTTCTGAGACTTCACCATTTACCACCCTGCCTCCTGGCCTGATAAAAACCCAGTAGACACATTCTCAGATCTTTCAGCTTTGAGGCTATATTAAGCCTCATTGATGTTTTATGAATATGAAGGTCAAGTACGGCATCTTCTCTCTTGCCAGTCACAGGAGCTGCCTATATGCCTCTCAGTAGACTCTGGGGCGGGGGGGTGGGGGGGGGGGCAGACCAGGCCAAGGGAAGACCTTGGACTTCTGTATCCCGTAGGGTCTCTGCACCCCTCTCCAGCGGGGCTGGAGCCCTGGGATCCTTTGAGCTTCTTCAAAGGAGGAAGCAGGCTGGGCCTGCTCTGGGACCCCTGTTGCTTCCCAGGTACCTCCAAATGGCTCAGGGTAGAAAGGTGCAACACCTCCAGCCTCCAGAAACACTTAGGGACTGCCTCCTCCTCGTCCAGGCCACCGTCACTGCTCACCTGGATGACAGTCAGGACCTCCCGACTCCTCTGCCCATCCTTAGCTGGGTGATCTTTGTGAAATGCAGACCTGATCATGTCACTTCCCATCACTCTTTCGCCACTGCTCTCTGGATAAAATTCTAATTCTGCCAGACCTATCCCCAGACTCACACTGGCCCACTTGCACCCCCCCCCCCGCCCCGCCCCGCCTTGGGCTACACTTCAGCCACACTGAACTTCCTTTGGTCCCCAGAACACACCATGCCTCTCGCTCTTGAATCTAAAGGGGTTCGGCCTCCCCTCCCCCTTCTGACCCATCCCTGGGTGGTGGCCACCCTCAGACACTGCTGCATTTCCGAACCCTTCCACCACCCCAGAGGTTGGGACGGGCGTGTTCTGTGGTCCCACGGCCTCCTTATCATAACACTGATTGACACTGTGTTACATTATTTTTAACAGTTTGGTTTTGAACAGATTATACATGCATACTTGTTGAAAATTCCAAACACTAAATCGTGCACAGGAAAGACCGAATCTCTCTCCTCTCAGCCTGTAGTCCCTAATTTCCGCTCCCCCGAATCAAGCGCTGTTGGCAGCTTCTCGTGCCTCCTTCCCAAACGCTCCTTGCTTTGGAAACCCTTGTGTATCCACTTAACCTCCTGTTAAATATATTAATGACAGCACACTGATGCATTTTGCCTTCGCTTTTTTCTACTCACTAATATATCTTACAGAACATTCCATGCGCCTATTATTTTTTTAACAGCTGCACGGCATTCTACGGTATGAGAGGGCTTGAATTGATCCGCCCGGTTCCCAACTCAAGGACAGCTGGGTTATTTCCAGCCTCTTGCTAGTACCACTTGTCATACGATGAGTATCCTCGTACACACTTCTTGGTGCTCACACCCAAGTGTACCTGCAGGATAACCTCCATGGCCTGGTCCTTTCCATGTTTGATATAAAGAGCCAGATCGCCCTCGACAGTTTGTTCAAATTTACCTAGCCCTGCACTGTAGTTACCTGGTTACTTGTCTTTCTGCTTCCATGGAACCGTGACCCTAGGATCACAGAAACTGTGTCTCCTCTGATCAGTCTCCAGCCCCCTGCCCAGGGCCTGGGCCATAAGAAACCCCATAAATATTGTTGCCTGAATGGGATGGGATTGAGTCTCACAACCCGTCCCCTCCCCACCTTCAGAATGAGCATCAGCCTTTTTCCTTTGAGAGGGGCTAAGTAACCACCTACTGGGCACCTGTCATCTGCTTAGAATCATCAGACTGAGTCTGTCTGTAGGGCCCTGCGGGGTTTGCACAGAGCCTGGACAAAATCTGTAAACACTGGTTGATGGATACCCTGATTTAATCCAGCCTCCATGCACTGGATGCTGGTAACAAAAGGATGGCCTAGGCCGTGGGCACATCCAGGCTAACAACACATGGGTGGTGCTTGAATCATAAATCAGAGACCACCTCCGCCAGGGGCCTCACCATATCTGTGCAGCCTTCTCTGGTGACACCAGCTTGATGTCACTCAGTGTCCTGGGCCACCAACCACAGTCCTGACCTCCCTGGGCCTTGACCCAGGAGTCTGGGACTGGGGTCCCTGTGGGGAAGTGCCCTAGCTCCCTGTGAACACGACAAGCCTCCAGAGAGACAGGTAGCCTTATAGGCTCTGTACGGGATGGTGGGACAAAAGTAGGGGGCAGGAGAGGGGACCGGGAGTCAGAGAGGGAAACACATATTCAGTGTGAAACAGGGTGAATAAGATGGAAAATCAGAGAGAGGGGAAGAAAGAAAGCAAGCAAGAAGGAGGGAGAGAGGGAGGAACAGAGGGAGGGAAAGAGAGAGAAAAAGAGAGAGAGAAGCACCCAGAGTGAGAGCCACAGAGATTCACAGAAACAGAAAGGGATGGAGAGGGAGGCAGAGATGGGAAGGAGGAGAGAAGGCGGGAGAATAGGAAGAAGGAAAGTAAGAGACGTGCCAGCTAGAGAGCAAGAGGAGGAAGGGGGAGGACTCCCATTCAGAGGGAGCAGGGGCACAGAACAGGGTCAGGGAGGGGCCCCGGGCACTCACTGCGGATCTCGGCCGTGGCATACTTGGGGATCATGGAGTCGGTCGTGAGCTCAGGGTGCAGGATGCAGCCGTGCGTGTAGGCGTCCATGGGCAGGGCGTCCAGCAGCTCTCGGTACTGCAGCACCCGTGCGTGCTGTGGGCTGCCAGCCTCGGGCATCAGGGCCACCACGTTCTCTGCAAGGCACAGCCAGCAGCTGGACCAGGGGCGTGGGCCCTGACTCGGCTGTCCATGCCCTGATTCTAAGAAGCCAACCCCTGGCACCCCAACTTCCCTGACTGGGAATCAAACTGGCGACCTTTCACTTTGTGAACGACGCCCAGCCAACTGAGCCACACCTGTCAGGGCTCTCCTTGATTTTTAAATGTTGGCAATTAATTCACATTCATTTTAAACAGTGCGTGCATGGGCTGTGATCCCCTCTTGGCTGTGTTTTCAGGCTCTGCCGTGAGCTGTGAGCTCCTGAACTAGAGCAAGGCCAGAGGGAGGATGGAAGGAGGGGATGTGGAGATCCACAGGGCTCTGGGTGTCGGCCCTGTTCTGACCCGCAAGGCTCTAGGATACCTGGGCCCCTGCCTGTGGGCTTCCCGGCAATTTGTGGCCCTGACTATGCTTGCGGGATGTCAGGGGGCTAGGCTGCTGGTGCCCTGGCATCTTGGGAAATCTCTACCTTACCTGTGGGGGCTTAGAGAGTGGTTTAGGTGCTGCTCATGCCCGAGGGGCTCCCAAGGCTTGTGGCCATGCCTGCGACCCTAGACTTCTTGGGGAAGGAGGCCATAGCCCCGGAGCTTCAAGGTGGGGGTACAGGGGTTCTGGACCATGTCCTTTCCCTGGGGATCTGTGCTATGTAGCCCCGTGGTTCATCTTGGGGGAGACTGGGCCTTCCCATCTGAGCCTGTAGGGCCCCTGGTGGGTTCAGCAGCCATACCTCCTGTGAAGGTGCGTTCCACATAGTCGATGATCTGGTCGTAGTCGCTGATGATGTTGTCACGATGGATGATAACGGGCACCTCCTCGCCCAGGTTGAGCCGCATGAACCAGGGCTCCTTGTGCTCACTCTGTGGCAGGCTCACATCCCGCTCCTCACATGCCAGGCCCTTCTCTGCGATCACCAGCCGCACCTGCAGGCGCCAGGGTCAGAGCGGGGAAGGCGGGTGGACACACGGGGACACACTGCCCAGGTGGGATGAGGCATGTGGGGAGGGAGGTCACAGGTCACACACAGGAGGGGACACTGTTTCTTCCAGTCCATTCTTGGGCCCCTAGATGGGAGGGAGTCCTATCTCTCAGGGGCCTAGGGCCAGGTGGTTACAGGGCTGTTTCATACCTGGACATACCTGGGACAGAATTCCTGGTTTTGTGGTGTGAGTTTGGCCAGATTCCTTAAACTTTCTAAGTTTGTTTCCTTATTTGCACAATGGAAGTATTAGTAGTACCCATCTAGTGTCTGGTATGTAGATGGCACTCAATCACGATTATCATTATCAGAATTGGACTCTCAGCCTGGCCTGCAGGGGTGGAGTGAGCCAGGAAATTTGCAGAAATTCTTACTATGATCAGCTAAAGTTTTCAAATTATTTGAGAAACAAAATGAGGTGCAAAATAATTTGCCAACACCAGTCGAGCCCTTTACTGTCCCCAAATGCCTTCCCGCCTGGTTACTGGATGCTCACAGTAGCCTCCCAGAAGAGGGCAGAGCAGGAACTACCTCCTTATTTTTCTTGGTGAGAAAACTAAGCCCAGAGAGGGTAAGTAACTTACCCAAAGTCACAGAGCAATTTAGCAGCAGACCTAAACCTACAAGCAACGGTTTCTGACTCCCAGACCAGTGCTCTCTGCCCTGGGGGGCTCCTTCCAAGGGAGTCCTGGGTCTTCCCCCCACTCTTACTATTTCCCTATGGCTCTAGGGGGTCCCGGACAAACATTCGAGCTGGTAGAAGCTAACGGAGAACCTTGTGGCAGGGGTATGTCCTGACCCAGCCCAAAATTTCTGAGTTGGAAAACAGCGATCGCATAGTCCAACTGTCTCCCTCCTGGGGACTGAGACTCAGAAAGAAGGCTGAACTTATCTGAGGTCCCCCAACAAAAAGGTGGTGAGTGACTCCACCCCTTCCTAAGCATCAGTGTCCTTCCACACCCAAATGGAGGTTCTGGGGACAGGGCATCGCCCACTTCCCTCCCAGATACTAGGAGTTAAAAACCCAAGACAGGCAGCGTGGGGTCATGTTCAGCATGTTGGACTGGGTGCCAGACTGTGTCAGTTCAAATCCCACCCCTGGCCCTTACTGGTCGGATAACTTGGCTTTACAGATAGCTTTACACCTGTGTGCCTCAGTTTCTTCACCTGCACAATGGGAGTCCCACTAGCATTTCCCTCAGAGGCCTGTTGTGAGAATCAGTTCCTGTGGGACAGTGCCTGGCATACCACAGAGGTAATGTGTCTTAGCTACTTGCATTGGAATAGGTTTTGGAGGCAGACAGACATGGAGTGAAAGCCTGGTTCTGCGGTTTATTTGCTGTGTGGCCTTGGGCAAGTCACTTGACCTCTCTGATCCCCAGTTTCTGTGAAATGAGGAATGTAATCTACTTCTTCAAGGCTAGCTCAAGGTTGAGATGGGGTGACGTGGGTGAAGTCCCAGCACAGGAGGTGAATACACAGTGTCTAGCCCATTAGCATGCACATTCTCTGCACAGGCTCCTGGTGACGTCCTAGAGCGCTTCACGCCCCACGCTCTCAGTTGACCCGGCTTCTGTTTAGTGAACTGTGGACAGGGTGAGGTACTTGGCGTCTGAACTCCCAACACTCATTCATTTGCTCCTTTAGCCAGAAGCAGGTCCTGCCAATGGCACTGGGAGGCAGGCACTCAGTCCACACCCTGGCTCTGCCACAGCAGTGCTGTGTGACCTTAGAGCTCTCACGGTCCCTTCCTGAGCCTCCTCGTTCTCATTAGTAAAACGAGGAGCGGCAGCCCTGCAGGGAGCTGACACTACATTCAGACCACGCAGGAGACGGCCGTGGGAGGGAACGGCTGGGTCTGTCTGAGAGAGGGAGGAACTGTGGCAGAGAGTGAGCACCCAGGGGGTGGTATCTGTTGAGTCTGGGTGTGTGAGTGTGCGAATGTGTGTGCCTGAGTGTGAGTGACAACTGTGTGAATGAGCAAATGTGTGTGCATGTCTGTGTGTGCCCATGTGTGCATGAGTGGGTATATATGGATGAGTGTGCCAGTCAGTGTGAATCTTCAAGTACTGTGTGAGCGCGTGTGCATTAGTGTGGATATGAGTGAGTATGCATGAGCGAGAGCACGTGTGTCTGTGTACATCTGAGCTCACGGGGAGTGACTGTGCCTTGGAGAAGCCCCAGAGCCGCTGAGGCTGAAGTTCGGCTGGAGCCGAACCGCCCGGTTCCCTTCCTGCCTCTCCTGGCGTCCTCCTGCTGGGGAGACCAGGCTCCGCCCAGTCATCCAGCCTCTGGGCCAAGCGGGGCCTCTGAATGGGGGAAAGAGAAACCAAACCGAGCCTTTGCCCTTGGCAATGGCAGACGTTTGGCCTCTGTCCTGGCAGGGCATCTGCCCTGCCCTGACACACCAGAGAGGGTGCCAGGTGGGGTGGCTGCCCGGGGAGGGCACTATCTTTAGAGGCACAGAGTCCTCTTGGAGCTGCCTTGGGTCACGCTGGCAAGCAGCCAAGGAGACTATCTCCTTTGCTGAGCTGAAGGCCAGAGCCATGCGCCATCCTGCGGGGAGGGGGGTGCAAGAGGAAGCCAGGCCCAGGGGAAGGGCACACAGTCACCAAGGCCATCTGCCATCTCTGCCTCCTGGGGGCTGGACCGCACTTAGGTGGTGACCACTTAGTGGGACCCGACATCAACCATCTCTGGGCAAACTGTCTTCCCTGTGGGTGCCCGAAATTCACCCACTGGTGCTTCATTGTCACGGTCAGGCACTGTCCCTCCTCGCCCAAGCCCTTGTTTCCGATGCAACTGGGATGGGTTGGGTTGGTGTCTCTTACTAGATACTTCGTTGCTGTGTGACTTCTCAAAAGACGCTTAGAATCTCTGAGCCTTGGTTTATTTATCTCAAATACCTTAGTTTTTAAATTAATAAACTTCATATTTTAGAGCAGAATCAAATACCTTTTTTTAATGTAACATATATGGCTTACAAATTCGTCCATTTCCACCACCTAATTTATCAAGTGCCTCCTCTGTATAACCAGGTCCTGTTCTAAGTGTGGGGGACCCCGCAGGACCCCTGCCCTGAGGAAGCTGGCATTCTAGAGGGGCCACACAGAGGATGAGCAGTTACTACGACAGAACACGTGTCAGAAGATGGTGAGTGCAACACAAAGAAAGAAAAAAACACATCAGGGTACAACTGGGGATGCCAAGGTATCAGGGAGGCAGGCGACAGTTTGAAGTAGGGTGATCCACCGGGGCTGGCCTCTCTGAGAAGGTGACCTTGCAGCGAAGGTTTGAATGAAGTGAGGGAGTGGCCCGCACAGGGGAAGGCTGCGGGCAGGGGACAGCCAGTGAAGAGGACATGTGTGGGGAGGCCAGGGTGGCTGGAGCAGGGCGGGTGGGCTGGGGAAGAGGTCAGACAGGATTGTGCACCAGGATTTATGATTGAGACACCCAGACCCAGGGGTCCATGAGTAAATTCAGAAAGTCCTTGAACTAGGATGGGGAAATTACATGTCTATTTTCAGCAATCTCAAACTGATGTTTACCTTCTTCTTTAATTATGGGTGTAGGCGACAAAGCATGGTAGTGTTAGCAGTGCCTGGAATATTGTCACCACTAGGAATCAGATATTTCCACCACTTCACAGCTGTGGCAGTTACACTCATCACGACTTCAGCATCACAGTAGTTATCAGTCCTGCCACTAGACTGTGTTATATAATGGGTTAATATAGAAGCATGTCATTATATAACAAACTTGTTTCAAAAATATGTCAATAGCTACTCTTCAGTATGATTGGTTTCCCTTGTAATCTAATAATCCTAAGCATTTTATTCAATTAAAAGCATTATTCTGAGGAATGTCCAGAGGCTTCCCCGGGCTGATGAGGGGTCCATGACCCAAGCAAGGTTAGGGTCCCGCAGGAGGGCCTGAGGCCATTGTGCGGACTCTGGCTTTTTCCCAGAGGGACCCGGGGAGCCACCGCAGGCTTCTGAGCAAAGTGGTAGGATCACAGTTTTTACCTGTGGGCCTCCTGGGGGCCAGGGAAATAAATGGTCAAGTGCGGCAGCGTGGAAAGTGCTGGGGGCCAGTGCCCAAGAGCTTGAAAGGCAAGGCTTGGCTGAGAGGTGGAGGTCATTTAATGCCCTCCTGCCATGTCTGCCAGACAGCTTCTGGGAGACCTGCTCTGTCTTGAGTGTCAGGATTGGCCTACGGTAGGACCCAGACCTGGGCCTTTCACTCCTGGGGGCTGAAGGCTAGGCCAGGGGCTCCTCCCAGGTACACCCAAGGCAAAGGCAGACCCTGAGAGGCTGGGGACACCCTTGAACCAGGCTTGCCGCCGGGAGCCAGGAATGGCGCCCAGAAACCCACCCCAGTGGATATGACAACAGTAATAATAGCTAACTCTTACACAGCACTGTACTGAGGCCTTTACATGCATTAACTCATTTAATCCTTGCAAAAATCTGATGGGGTAGGTACCAGTATTATGCTCATTTTACGAAACAGAAAACAGGCGCAGAGACAGTAAATAACTTGCCCAAAGTCACACCGCTAGTAAGTAGCAATCTTTTTTTAAAAAAGTACTGGCTTGTGTTAGGACAGAAGGATTCTCAGAGCAGGGGCAGGGTGGGGGGCACACAGAAGTAAAGCAGTTCTCCCGCCCAGGGATGGGGGGAGGCCGGGTACACCAATCATCTAGTCCATCTCCCTGTTGTGGAAACTGAGAACCAGGGAGGGCCAGGACTTACTGGAGCTCACACAGCCAGTGAGTATGAGTGTGAGCACTAGGATCCTGGTGTCTTGACTCCCTGCACGCCTTGCCCTTCTGAACCTCACCTTCCAGAGGAGAAGGGGCTAGGAGCAGAAACAGCCTCAGAAGCACCCTAACATCGATGCCATGCAATTGGAGCCCCCTCTGAATCCTGTGGCCCCAAATGGCCACCTATGGTGGCGCCTAAAAGTTCACTGTTAGAGAGCGGATTTTAAAGGCACTGAGCTAAATGTGTGGCCATGCATATCACCTGATCTTCACAGCCCTGGTCATAACCCTCTGCATACTCCTAAGCATATGAAGAAGCTGAGACTTAAGACAGGTGAAGCCCTGGCCAGGTGGCTCAGGTGGTTGGAGCATCATCTTGTACACGAAAAGGTTGTGGGTTCGATTCCTGGTCAGGGCACATACCTAGGTTGCAAGTTCAATTCTCGCTTGGGGTATACACAGGAGGCTACCAGTCGATGTTTCTCTCTCACATTGGTGTCTCTCTCTCTCTCCCTGCCCCCTTCCTCTCTAAAATCAATACAAGCATGTCTTCAGGTGAGGATTAAAAAAGAAGAAGAAAGGTAAAGACACTTGCGCAAAGTCACAGAGCTAGGAAGCGGCAGAGTTGTAAGTGCTGTAAGTGCAGGTGCAGTTACTGAGCACTTGCCGTGTGCCAGGTGCTGTGCTGGGTGAGTTACATGGACACATTTGCCGACTCCTCCCAGTGACTCTAACAGGGAGGTTCTAGTAATATTCTCAGTGGACAGATGTGATAACGGAGGTACAGGGGTTAAGCAATCTGCCCAGGATTGCCCAGTTGGTCAGTGGTGGAGCTGAGACGGAAGCCTGGGCAGTCTGGTCGCAGGGTCTGGGCTCTGGACTCCGCACTGCCCTGCTGCCCTCTGGCTCTGGAATAGTCTCTAGGCGCATCATGGGGGCCCCCACCACCACTCCCGGGGGTGGGCTGTTTCTGCTATTAGTAGCTCATGTGCCATTAGGGACAGGCTTCCCCTGCTGCACATGGAGACCTGCCCCCTGTGTGCAGGCGAGGCCCTTTGGGACTGAAGGGGTGAGAGGAATCTCACCTGCTAAGCTCCTACTACATGCCAGACACTTAACACATGTCCATGTCCTCTCAGTCCCCCAGGAATTCTGCTGGGTAGGATGCAAAATTCCCCTTTTACTGATAAGAATATTGAGGCACAGAGAGGTGAAGTGGTTTATCCAAGGTCGCACAGCCAGTAGCACTCAGGATAAGACTGGAACCCAGGACTGACTGCAGAGCCCATGCCCTTTCTGCCAGGCTAATGCTGTCTCTAGTACCCACCACGGGCCCCTGGGCAGAAGGGAGGCCCTGGCAGAAGGGGCTGGGTCAGAGGTGTGGTCACAAATGGGGTTGCAGTGGGCGGTTCCAGACCTGACTAGGGGGCCACTTGAGCCCTGAGCTCAGGCTGAACAGAAAATATCCCATGTGGAGAAGAGGAGGTGGCTCCCCCAGGCGATGGTAATGAGGATTGTCATCCCTCTGCCTCCTATCCAGTCCCCACCACCAGGGCCTGGCTCCTGAGGTTCTGGGTGGGCGGAGATTCTAACATCTGGAGGTCAGGCTGGTTCATCTCCAAACCCCCAACCCCCAACGACTTGCATAGAGCCTGGCGCACAGTAGGTGTTCAGTACACATGAGCACAATTCATGGGCAAACCCCAGGGAGATCTTGGTTAAACCGACCTCTCTGCTGCCTAGCACTTGGATGACACCACAACACCCGTTATTCACAGAGACTTGAGTCCATGCCAGGCACTGCCATCAGCACTTTTGGGGCATCATCTCATTTCACCATTTCACCTTCAGCCCTCTGAGGAAGGTGCTGCCATTAGCTCCATTTTACAGGTTGTAAAACTGAGGCTTTGGAGAGACAAAGTGACCTGTCCAAATCCCCATAGTAAGTTATTGGGGAATATGGCAATCCCACTGGGGATTGTCTGGCCTCAGAGTCTATACCCTAAAGTGGAATTACTCAAAGGGAGACCGCTGGACCAGCTTCATCAGCATCACGTGGTAGCGTGTTAGAAATGCAGCACCTTGGGCCCCAGGCCAGAATACTGAGTCAGAATCTCTGGGGTGGGACCCAGCAGTCTGTGCTTTAGCCAGGATCATGCAGCGATTCCAATGCACGATCAAGTTTGAGTAGTGCCGGTCTAGCACAGTAAGTTATGCCGCCTCTTCAACAACCCTCGCAGCAACCCTCAGAGGGGCTGGAATTAGAAGCAGCTATTATTATTATTATCCCATTTTTCAGACTACAAAACTGAGCCTGGACCAAGACTCAGACCCAACTCTTTTGGTTCCAAGGCCCTTACTCGTTACAGAACCCGTTTCTCCATCTGGAAAATCAGTGCACGGAACAAGAGGATCTTCCAGGGACGGGGCAATGGTCCGCGAATGCTGGGCACTGGCCATGGTGCTGAATCTGTTTCCCCCCACACCGGACAGCCGCCCCAGGTGAGAGATGGAGCTCCTAGAGGCGGGCGCTCCTGTCTTAGAGGCGCAGTGCCGGGCCCTCACCGCCAGAAGCGGGAACCCCAGTAACTCAGCACCCGGCTGTATTCCCAGCTGACCCCTAGCTCCCCTGAGTCTGAGAAGTGGCCGAGAGGCCATATTGTGCCTGTAAGAGTAAAACACGGATCTCACGTCTGGGCTGGTCTAAAAAGAGTTAACTCCTGCCTTGTGTAGCAAGGGGGTGGGGATGGGGGGCTAGAGATGGACCCTCCAAGGCAGAACGAGGCCCCCAGCCGTGCAGAGGGGCAGAGGAGCTGAGACCTGAAGGCCTGTAGTATCCGGGACAGGAGCTTGGAGGGAGGGCTACCATGGCTGGAGGCTGGACCCCAGGAAGCGCTCCTCCTCCCACCAACAGGCCGCCTTCCCAGCAGTACCCATTCCCTTCCCTTTGCTTTGTCTCTCTTCTCAGCCCTCCAACAGAGCGGGTCTTTCTGGAAGGGAAAGAGGATGGATATTCCTAGAATTGGGGACGGTGCTCCTGGGGCCCAAGACAGAGCCAGTCACCTCCGGGGAGAGCAGTCCCGCGTCTCCCCGTCCTCCGGCCGGAAACCCCAGATTCCACCCTCCTCTTACACCGGGTCCTCAGACCCCTTGGGCCCTCCGGAACCCCCTCCCCCAAGCCTGCCAGCCACCAGGCGCATCCGGTTCCCCTGCTTTCCCGAGCTATACCTTCTGGGAGCTGAAGGACTGGGTCCAGTGGTACAGAACCAGGCTCTCCTTGGGCCAATGGGCGGGGCTGGCCGCCTCGGGCGCGTCGTGGGCCTCCGCAGGCTTGGCTGCATCGCTCTCCAGCGCTGAGATGGGCCACCAGCTGCAGTTGGTGGGGGTCAAGTTGTTGGGGGTCGCCATGACAGCCCGGAATCCGAGGGCCGAAAGAAGGCGGCTTCCGCGGCGGCTGGCTCTCTCTCGCCCAGCATCACATGGCTCGCGGAGCCTGCCCCTCTCCTTCGCTCCCTCCCGCCCCTCTCCGTGAATGTCATTTCTCACTGGGCGAGTGAGGGAGGGAGCCAGGGGATCCCGGGAGGTCCTTCCCTCCTCCTCCCCTTGGCCCGCCCCTGGCCGGTGCTAGACCAGCCACCAGTCCTCTCTGTCGCGTTCCGTGGAAGGGTGCGTGGAGCCGGAGCGAAGCCGGGCGTGCCCCCCAGGTGGCTCCTGTCTGGCCGGTTCCCTGCCGGCGATTCCACCATTGCAAACGCGTTCTGCCTCGCGATCTGCTAAGAAGCAAGTATTTCTTTAGAACAACTAGTTGTAGACATTTATTCCTTTTATAAGTCAGTGTCTGGAAATAACCTCTCTAGGAAGCTGTTATTTTCTAACTCTTCTCCTTTAGATAACCTTTAAGAGCAGAAGGGAACAAACAATGGTGTACTGTGTGCCCAGGCACTGTTCTAAGGGCTTCACAAACAATCGACTCACTTGGCCCTCAGAATCACCCTATACGCCTCATTCCACAGAGGAGGAAACTGAGGTGCAAAGAGGCTAAGTGACCTTGCCCAGGGTCACCTAGCTAGTCAGTTGGGAGGGCTGAGATTTAAACCCAGGCTGTCTGGCCCGAGTCAAGGCCACTCTGCTCTCAGCCATAAGGTCAGGACGACATACAAGCAGCAGCACAGCAAGTGCTGATCGGCCCATGCACGTTACACACGTCGCCTCGTCTCATCCGCTCAGTGACCATTTTTCCCAGGTGAGGAAGGCGGAGCTCAGAGGCGTAAATCATTGGCCCAAGGTCACACATCTCCACCCCAGGAAACTGAGGCCCCCCCAAAAGACTATAACACCTCCGCTGTCACATAGTTTATCCTAAATAGTCATGAAAACTTTCCAGGAAGTTCCTTAATATGCACTTGCTTTCCTTACTATAAATATTGTTTTAATTTATTTAATCCTTTGAGCAAATAGATGCACCAGGAAAATGAGCTTCTTAGTTTCCACGCCCCTACCCCCCACCCCCACCAAGTCACGCTACCAAGCACTTCCGGCCACCTCGCCCTCCAGGCCGACAAGCACAGCTCTATCTAGGTCGGCGGCCTTCCTTCCACCAGACAACAGAAGTTCTGTGGCCCGTGGGCTCCTCTTTCTTCTTCGGCTGCCAAAGAAGCTTGGAGCTTCACTTTTTGGTAAGTCCCAGTTGCCACATTAAGCCTCCCTCAGCGATTTTTCTTTTTCAAAGTGTCTTGGTGTTCACAGTTTGATTGTGCAAAGAAGGATACGCTCTGTCTTGAGGGAAAATGCAAAGATCTGTGAATTCAGAGGAGGAGGGCCTTAGAAATTTGATCAAGGTAGAAAATCTGTCCCCTATCTGTGACTCCAGCCTGGTGTATCCAGGGAGACAGACGCGGCGGTCATGCTCAATGTGGATTCATCTACCCAACAAATATGCACCAGGAACTTCAATGGCACAAGAGAGACTGTGATAAATAAACAGACACTGGTGTGTCCTTTGTATTTTTCACTTAGCAATACATCGTGGGAAGAGCCTCCTATCAGCGCAGGCCCACCCCACACTTGCTAACAGGCTACACACTGTATAGATGCACCGTAATGAACTCAACAACTCTTGTTAATGGCCACATATGTTGTTTCTAATCTTTTGTTATAAAAACAATGCTGCGGTGAATATGCTTATTCGTGTATATTTGTGCACATGTTTGAGATTAGTCTGCATGACAAATTCCTAGAAATGGAATTGCTGGATCAAAGAATATGTCTTTGCCCGAGTTTCGTCTGAAGAGGCTGTCCCAATTTATAGTCCCCACTAACAGTCTATGAAAGTACCTGCTTCCCTACACCCTTGCCAACACAGCATATTTTTAAACACTTTTTTGAATTTATGGGTGAAAAATGGTATCTCACAGTTTTTACTTGTTTTTGCCTCGTTGTAAAAATGTTCAAACATATGAAACAGCAAACAAAGCAGCTCAGTGCACACCCATGTGTCCGTCCCCCAGATATCAGCATTCTTAAAAACGTGCCATGTCCGTTTAACTTAGGGGAGAGGGTTGGAAGGATCTGAAACAAATCACAGACACCCTGATGTTTCACACACTAACAACTCAGTACTACTTTACACCTAACACAGGCCATTTTCTTACATAAAACAACACATTTTTCACATTAAAAAATTAACAATAAGGTCCTAATATCTAGTTCATATGGAAATTTCTCCAGTTGTACCAGATATGTCTTCATAGCTGGTTTCAACCAAGATCCAATTAAGGGCCATACAATAAATTCTGTTGTTACTCCTTAAGTCTCCAGAATGGTCCTCACTCTTTTTAATTTTTTTCCCATAACACTGGCTCATGAAGAGACTGGCCAGCCGTCTTGTACAGTGTTCCACTTTGGGACTTGCCTGATTGGTCATTGTCGTGTCCTTTAAGTTGTCTGCCTTGTATTTCCTGTGAACTGGTACTTAGATCTAAGCCAGGTGGTGAAAGACAAATACCATGTGATCTCACCTATAAGTGAAACCTAATCAACAAAACAAACAAGTGAACCAGATACATGGAAATAAAGAACACAGTGACAGTGACCAGAGGAGAGCATGGAGGGGGATAATGGGGCTGGGGGGGGAAGGGTCAAGTCCAGGAACATGCATAAAGGACCCGTGGACAATGAGGGCGGGGAGGACTGAATGTGGGAGAGGAGGGGTGGGTAGGGCAGGGAAGAGTAATTCGGGAAAAATGAAGACAACTTGTAGTTGAACAACAATGAAAAAGTTAAAAAAAAATAAAGGATAGATTAGATTCAGGTTAAACATTTTGGGGGCAAAGTTTAACCCTTCATGGGTGGTCTGTGTGCTTCATTTTACCTTCCACCAAGAGGCCCACAATATCTTGTTGTCCCACTATTAAGGTTGCCAAGTTTGATTACTGGGTTAAGGTGGTAACCATGACTCACCTCTGTCTATTTCTTCTCTTCCCACCAGAACCTTGTGGGTATCCAGTTCCTCTCCCATTGATGGTCCTTGAATGAGTCTATTATCAGGGATTGTAAAATGATTTTCTAATTTTGTCATTTCATTTGCATTTATCAGCTGGCATTCTTTATTTGAATTTCATTAATTATGAGTGAAGCTGACCATCCTTTCAAATGCATAAAAGCCATTTAAATTTCTTTCCCAGCAAATTGTCTATGTTTTCCATGGGGGCCTGGGCAATTCCAGCATTGTACGATGAATTCAGTGACTGGGGTGAGGACAGGGGTTGTGGTAGGGCTGAGAAGGGACATCCAGCTTGCCCTGCCCCTCCAGGTGCTGACCCTGTGGGGAAGGCTTTCAGGATGCAGCAGCTCTCATATGGGTTTCTCCAAAGCAGATCCTGAGACAAGAATTTAAGGACAAGCGATCGCTTTGGGAGATAAGGGAAATCCTTATCTCCCAAATCCTTTCCTGTCCTTTCCTGAGACAGGAAAGACAGCCAAGGAAGGTGTGTTGTCAAGGAAGATGGCACTGTAAGCGGCTGGAGCTTAATGACACAGGGAAATCCTGAGGCTGATGCAAAACACCTCAGCATTATCCCACCTGAGAAGGAAGGGAGCTGGGGTATTTATATACCCAGTTCCACCAGTCATCACTCTAGGATTGCTCCCAGGAGAGTGTTAACTCCCCAGCACTTCAGGCCTGTCCTACAGTTGGCAGAGTGGGTTCCAGTGACCAAAAAAAGCGACCCCCCCAGGCAACAGACATGGGTGCTGCCAGCTGGGGGTAAGCCTGTGTGCACTAAAATGGTAAAAGTGTGTGGGGAGAGACAGGTAGGGCACTGCCATCACCCACTCAGGGGCCTCTAAGCAGAAATGCTAACTAAGGGTGAAGAGCAGTTATCTAAATGATGAGAAGACGGGAAAGGGATGCACACTCCAGACAGAGAGAGGAGCAAGTGCAAAGGCCCAGGGGTGAGGGTGGGAGTGATGTGCTTGAGGAACCGGTGGCTATTTATCTGGCTGGAGGCAGGGATGAGAGAGGAGGCTGAGTGGTCCTGCCAGGTCTGTTCAGCCATCTTTAGGGGCTGTCACATGTTGAGGGTCCTTGGGAGTCACTGGAGAATTTTAATCAGGGAAATAACATCCAGTTTGGGTGCCACACATCTGAAAAGGGCCTGAAAAGTATGTATACTGACATTCCCACATATTAATTCACACTGGGGGCTAGATGTTTCCCGCCAGTGATGGGATTTCTCACACCCTTCTCCCATGGCGAATGGGGATGGGCTCAGCCACCAAGAGGTTCCCACTGAAGGTGAACTCGGAACAGTGAGAAGGCAGCCTCAGGGAAATATTTCACCTGGGCTCACTACTGGGAAGTTATAATATATATGACATTATACTATAATAATGGCTAACAGGGTTTTCCATGCACTAAAAACTGTGTGAAGCACTTCACAGTCATCACCTTAATTGAGGTGATATTGTTGTCCTGATTACACAGATAAGGAAACTGATGCTCAGGTGAAGTTACTGTTGGCCCAAAGGCAAGAGCTAACAAACACCCACGTCTATAGACAATAAGGGATTAGATAAATTAATTAGGAGGACTTCCGGCCAAGATGGAGGCATAGGTAGACACACTGTGGCTCCTTGAGCAACCAAAAGAAGGACAACAACAATTTAAAAACAAACAAACAAAAACAACCAGAACTAACAGAAAATCAAACTGTATGGAAGTCTGACAACCAAGGAGTTAAAGAAGACACATTCATCCAGACCAGTAGGAGGGGTGGAGTGGGGCAGCCGGGGCAGAGAGGACTCACGACAAAGCAGTGGCTGGTGGACCCAGTGAGGCGGCAGATTGTGGAATAGGGCGGGCAAGGTGGTGGTTGGTGGACCTGACAGTCCCACATTCACACACAGATAAACCAGACGAAACTGGGGAGTGGGATGGACCGCAAAACCCTGGGCTCCAGCACGGGGAAATAAAGCCTCAAACCGATGATTGAAAACATCTGTGGGGGTTCAGGTGCTGGGAGACACTCCCAGCCTCACAGGAGAGTTCATTGGAGAGATCCACAGGGTCCTAGAACA